TCTTATATCTGTGGTTATCTACAACCCTGCACAATGAATGCTGTATTTAGTTTGATTGTGTTCTCATGATTTTCCTGAAGTACAGTAGACACTTCCATATCATGGGGGTTAAGAGCGCAGGCCCCCCGCGATTTGGAAAAAAAAATCGCATAATATTTTTTGGCCCCCTTGGCGAGCAAAGTGAGGCGAAATGGCAATGCAAGATACAAAGATCACTGTAAGATCACTGTGAGATCACTGTGAGATATCATGTGAGAGGCTGCCATGAAAGCACTTGGTGTCCTCCAAACCCACACTGTACATACAACTCTGGAAAAACTTAAAAGACCACAGCAAAATTTTTAGTTTCACTCATTTCTCAATTTATGGGTATACTTCTGTGTAAAATATTATATTTTTTTGCAGCCACTACAGCCTTGCTTTTCACTGCTTCTCATTAATGAAGGGCTTCTTCATTGCTGTATGGAACTTCAGTCCTGCTTCTAGGAGCCTGATACAAACTGTCCCAGCAGTGCACTTCACACCTGCACTTAATGCTTCCCATTCTTTTTGAAGGTCACTTGATGTCATCCTCCGATTTATGAGGCACTGCTGGATAAATAGTAACCTCTGGCATTAGAATGTTGCTTCTGCCCTTACCTGGCTGGCTTTTGGTTGCTCCCAGTGTCTCCTAGTCACATTGTTCTTGTGTACTGCTGGTGCTTAGCATAGCCTTCTGCCAGCAGAACCAGGATGAAACTAGGATTTAACAATGCAGATTCTTAAAAAATATGGAGTGTAAATTTTTTCCTGAGTTGTATATTTTATGCATTTATGAGTTACTAAACTTTGTGTTTGTTGTCTTCTGACCTTCGTGTGTTGTCTGCGGTTTTCATAAAACTGTGACACATGTGATTTCTTATGCCAACCCCAGGACATATCAAAACCGTAATGAAGAAAGTCGCAATGCAAAAGGGTTGACCGTACATGAAAAACTATTTTGCATTTAACAGAAAAAAAATTGCAGTTAACCATATTTAATCTTCTATTTCTATTCTATTAGTTACTCATCACAGAAAATAAGAAATTTGTTAGCCGTCCAATAATGTAACCATTTATATATATTATTATGAAGATTGAGAAATCTATTTTCATTATACTTCATTGCATTTATTAATAGATTTTTCAGGGTATGATTTCATTTTACAGAAATTTTTGGGTAGCAAAAGCCATTTAAAGCAGTAATCTACTATATCAAGAATTTCCGGCTGACTTGGTATGGCGTTGTCATTTATTCCAATTCTGGTGAAAGTTAGGCTAAAAAATGTTGCTTTTTCAGCTAGGACATTTGTTTCATGTAGAATAATAGATCATGCAAAGAATTACATAGAAATTGTCCAAAAAACAGTTTTGCAGAATGTGTGAGTTTGTCTTTGTTTTAAAAAAGATTTGAAGTCTGTTCTGAATGTTGGAACAAACACAAAATGCATTTCAGCTTTAGTAAAAGGGAAGAAATACTGGCAGTCAGAAGGGACAACAAAGTGACCATGACACCAAAGTTTAGCATTATTCTACTGCATTTTACCTAATAAGATGTAAAGGAATCTTGGCCAAAAATGCAGATTTTCAAAAGCTAACTCACACAACTGGTCTGCAGTGGGAAAGAAACTGCAAATGTGTGGTTTGCTGCTTAAATTCTCTAAAACGGCTGGTGGAACATCCTGTCACAGGAGTGGCCCTGTGTGAAAGCTTAACTATTCTCAATGTGATTGTGATGAATTGGTTGCAGTGAAAAACAGCAAGTTGCTAGGTTCTCTAACACGAGTGTAAATCATTGAACCATTAGAGACAACTTAATATGTCATTATGGAAAATACGCCATAAAGGAGACAGTCAAAGAAAGTACATAGCAAGTGTATGCATGCTTGAAAAAAAGCAATTTGACATTTGAAGCAAATGAACAGTAAAACTAAAAAACGAATTTCTTCTGTTCTCCAGAAATGACTGATATCTTGTTGCGTGGCTAGAAGCACATCGCTTCAGTTCCCAAACGTCTCCCCGGGGCCACCCCAGTCTCATTCAAATCAACTTAACTAGTTAACAAATTTGATAAGGCGGCCAAGCATGGTATACTTGTGGTCAAGAAATGCATGGGTATATCAAATGGTTACTGCGAGTACTGAGGGAACTTAGATATTTTGAAATGACTAAGCTGATACACTTTAACGGGGTAATATCATGGTTTCACACCAACATCGAAATCATTAAACATGCATTTTTTTGACTACCTACGACTGTTGCACAATTTATATTCACAATGTTGCACAATTAATACTCACAATGATAAACTACTAACAACCAGAGCTGTAAAAGGCCTAATTTTATCAGGAGCTTTAAAACTGCTTAAAATGGGGGGGGGAAAAACCATTAATATCCTGGGTAGTCAGTAATGAATCAATTCAAAAGCAAAATTTCCCCTAAACTTGCAATAGGAGTGGATTTTTTTTTCAAGACATGCATTTGTGCTGCAATCATTTGTGCAGAGCTGAAAAGCATGATGCTGGAGCTAAGAGAAAATGTCATGAAAGCGGTTATTGTTTCTAGGCGAGGAATAGGTTCTGTTACATTCAGCAACCAGTTCAAATGCAGCCAAACCATCAAGATGTTGTGGAAACATCCATTTCCTAACTGCATCTCCTAGTCAGGGTTGTTGTGCACCTTAGTTAAGGCGTCAGTCTATTGCAAAGCACATGCTTGCACATAAAAATCATAAACTACAGGCAATTTAGAGAAGCCAGTTAGCATAACTGCATGTATTTGGACTGCAGGAGGAACCCAAAAAACCCTGAGGAAACTGAGGGAGACAGAGAAAGCAGGCAGACTGCACAAGCACTGAGCAGAGGTGACTTTCCAACTGCTAACCCTATAAGCAACAGTGCTACCCATTGTCCCCTTGTAGTAGTAAATGATCTCATCATCCATTTTCTGAAACTTCTTGTCCAGTTCTGGGATGTGGGGGGTGGGGGGGGAGGGGTCCAGAGGCGATCCCGGAGGCTACAGGCACAAGGCAGGGAACAACCCAGGATGGGGAGCCAACCCATCGCAGGGCACAACATGCAAATTCCACACATGGAACCCCGTCGGAAACTCGAACCCTGGTCCCAGAGGTGTGAGGCAACAATGCTAACCGCTAACCACTGCACTGCCCCATCTTTAATTCAATCTACTTGGTCAGCCTGTAAGGTGAATTCCAACTACTGTTTGCTACAATATACAACTCAAAACCTTCAGGCACTACATTTCAAGCTGATGTTTTTCACCCAAATCGTAAAAGGCTACCAAACAGTCGTCATGGCACTGGCAGGAAAAAAGGTGACAATCCACTTATGGCTCCAAGAAACACAGGATATTACCAAAACAATAACACAAGAACAAAGGACCACAATGAGTCATAAACAGACAGGGAAACACCAACTTAAATAACTAAGATAAGACTTAACCAGGTCACTGAACTAACAAGGACTAAAAAGTCTAAAGAACAAGTAAGGGAATAGACAAGACCAGAAACAGACCTATAAACTGAAACAGGCAAATGCGGCACACAACAACCCACTGCAGAAACGAACTACGGCAGGAACTTAAATACACACAGAAAACCAGGAAGAGCAAGGGACTGGTGTAACTCATAATCAATTAACCAATCAAAGGGATCACAGATTAACTAGAAGCAGGTGGGGTGCAGGGGGCGGCATGGTGGTGCCACACACCTCTGGGACCAGGGTTTGAGTCTCCGCCTGGGTTCCATGTGTGTGGAGTTTGCATGTTCTCCCCAAATCGTCGTGGGGTTTCCTCTGGGTACTCCGGTTTCCCCCCACAGTCCAAAGACATGCTGAGGCTAATTGGAGTTACTAAATTGCCCATGGGTGAGTGAATGGTGTGTGAGTGAATGGTGTGTGAGTGTGCCCTGCGTTGGGCTGGCCCCCCGTCCTGGGTTGTTCCCCGCCTCATGCCAGTAACTTCCAGGATTGGCCCAGGACCACTCCGCGACCCAGAAGGATAAGCGGTTTGGAAAATGGATGAATGAATGAAAAGATGGGGTGGATTATAATTAGCTAATCACAAAACAAGGATGTCAGCTCGGACATCATTCAGTCAGTGAGCTATGCAGGGGTTAGGGAGAGCAAGAAAGAACACTGAAAGCCGAAGGGCTAAGAGACAGGGGCAAAGCAGGATGACAGGCAATACCTGCAGGCCAAAAGGAGAAGAGACACAAAGGACCGGGTCAGACGGTACAGACCCTGACAATAGTATTTACATGTGAAGCAGTGGAGAATTTTTGTTGTTCTTAATACAATTTGTTCAATGCAAGATGACAGCAAACTGAGGGCCTCTCACAAGAAACAAGACAGCCAAAACAAGATACCACAAATCACAAACTCACAGGTAAACACTATGTGCAATTCAACAGTTAAAGGAAAGAAATCTCATGGAATATGTCACACAGGAAATAGCTGGATAGTGGGTAGGCCTTAGATTAGCATTTCACAGCTAGACTCACTGAGAAACGTTTTACAATAATGGTTAGAAACATAGTAAAATACAACAGTGTCCAATAAATCAATGAGTATCAACCAGTGATACATCAATGTCTTTTTTCTGCAAGCACAGCTCACAGGACTGGCAGAGCTGATGCAAGCAGGTAACAGTGGAAAGTGCACAGAGGGAAGAATCTCAGGCTAAAGGAACATTCAGAGCTTTTTTGTAATTACTGATTCACAAAAACAAGCTGCAAAGAACAGTTGTAATAACGCTAAAACGACTTCCAACAAAAACCTCAGAATCTGCATATTTTGTATGACGTGCTACAGTTACAATACTCAGAGCGATGCTACAGCTAATGTTCGCCTTGCAGATTGTGCATTTTCCATGCGGTTCAGGATGAAAGTCAGCCCATATTTAAAATCTTTGTTACTGGCACGTCTCAGTGCTTCCTCCAAAAAAGAACGGCCACACAAGCTGATGTCATAAGGCTTTCCAAAACACTCAATGGTATAAAACGACGGAGTTAGTGTTAAACAACACTATTAGCTGCAATGATTATCTTGATAATTACACTCATCAGCCTTTGGCCTCAGGAAGGGAGAGGTAAGTGACTTTTGAGACGACCACTGTATTCTATATTAATATCATCATTCATTCAATACTTAAACTTGTGAGATAATTAATTAGCACTAACTTGCAAAAACTTAGACCATGGGACATTTCTTTTCATTTGTTGGTGTATTCTGTCTGTTTTTCCATGTTTTATTTGGATTTTATTCACTTTGACTATTCACTTGAAATCAACTGTTACTAGAAAACCATTCATGGTCATTTTCTTCCCACGCTGCTGCTATGCTCAGAAAGTGTTTAAACTGTAAGCCTGAAAGGCTGGCCTCATTTCCTCACCTTACAAACCTGTCTCCCCTCAGCCCTGCACGTGTTCCAGCCCTACAGGACTGTGGGCCGCGGAGGTGAGGCTGTGATTCGCTGTTCCTACGAGCTGTCGAGTGGGACGGAGGAGCTACACCTGGCCTTGTACCGCGGCCAGTATGAGAAGCAGGAGATGTGTGCCTCCACTTTCAACACTAGGCAGTCCTACTTCGAAACCGAGGGAATAGTGAAATGTAGGGGTGAAATTTCGTCCAATGGTGTAAACCTCACTGTGACTGGACTGAAGGGTGTCGACACAGACCTGTACTTCTGCGCCCTGGAAGTGCTCTTTCCCCCACCTTACCTTCTCCGGGTTGGGAATGGAACCATAGTCTACATAGAAGGTAAACAACCCTAACCTCCCTAACACTGATCTTGTTCACCTGACTGTTTTTCAGTTTCCAATAATGATCACATGTAAGGCAATAACACATAAGTTTAGGAAACACTTCTTAGTCCATTTTCTTGGACAGAGCACAGAAGATGGCATGTCTGCTCTGTAATTAGAACAATCCTTAACATGGCAATGCTCTCAGGCTCCACATTATGAAAAAGATTTTTTTTTTTTTTTGCAGTATTGTTTTTTTAGGAAATACTCATCGAGACTATCGTCATAGTCTCATTTTCAGGGAAAAACATGATGATTTTGTGAATTATCGGCTCTGACACAAGCAGAGAAACCACTGAAGGCAGTGAACAATTGTGGTTAAAGTGATTACCGTCTTCTTTTTGAGAAGGGATGCCCCCAGCCCATAACTTACCAGCTACATCACACACGGATCTCATTTAGAGTGGAAATAATAGTCTGCATGATTGATCAAAACAGTTTTATTCCACTGAATAATTCCAGCAAGTGAGGTTAGATTCTAATCCTAAGAATGTAGCTGCTCAATATGCGCAATACAACAATAGTACCGCAGCAGCCAATATATTGTTCCGTAACAGTTTCATCTTGTTTTCTGCAGAAGAACCTGACTGTCCAGCACATGCAGAGAAAATCGTAGCTGATCCAGAGGACACCTCAAAAGAAGCATATGTATTACCATTGATACTGTTTGCGTTCGTCGTCATCATCATTGTCATCATTGCGGTCATCAATAATGTAAGTCTGTATGCTAAACACAAAAATGCTTGCGTATTTGTGCTAAATAGTCATATAGCACTTATATCATAAAATAGTCCAGCTATCACTTATTGAAAACATAGTTAACTACTGAAGGGAATGCATGTTTTAAAAGTTGAAATCGTTATTTGTTTTGTTTTCCATATGCCAACATAGCCCTGCTTAGTTGCAGTTGTACATTGGCCCCCAAGCCTTTACCTTATGGTGCATCTCTGTTGTAATTGCAGATCATCAACATGAACCACAGGAGGAAGGTTGTTGGAATGCCTCCTGTCGCCTCGAAAACATTGGACTGCAGATTTGGCTATGAGAATTTCCTATGAAAATTTACCATTGAAAATGTATGACATTGCATGACTTTTTAAGTTAACATTATATGTTTTTTTTTTACTGTGTACTTTACAATGTGAAGTTTGGTGGTGCAACATAACACAGATATAACCTTTTAAACAAAGGAATAAAACTATAACATTTAAAATGTCAGAATTAAGGAATGTATTTTTTCACATTCAGTAGCTTGTAGTGGGATTTCTTACATAACCTTTATTACAAAGTTCTACGCATGACATTGTTGTGGTATATTAATTCGTGTAATACACAAGCGATATTTTATAACACATTTTGTTACACATTATTAATTTTCAGGGATCCTGTGCTACCACACATGACTCTGTAATTTTATTTAGAATGTGTGTTATTTTGTTTTATTTATTTTTTGATGCGCACATTTTCAGAGAGAATGAAATGTCTCATAGGAGTTTTCAGCTTTCAGTGTGAAATCTAGCATCGCCAGCAGGTGTCAGTGTGTCATGAAATTGTTCACAACTGCTTCTATAAACTGGAGTTATATTCAGCTTATGACCATATGAAGTGTTTGAGGAATACCTTAAATGTGCTTTGGATTTCATGGACTGTGTGTTAAATAGCCATGGTAATATGCAAAAATGTGAACCCTAATAATGACCTCCCTTATACTTGGGAGCTCTTTCGCACAATACGTCTGTATTTTAAAGATATTGTTTTATCATATTGTCCCAGCTTCTTTGAAACGTGTTTCACAAAATACAATTAAAATTTACTGTGTACTTCAAACAATTCTGTTGCTGTTGTTTGTTGTTTATCATGACACAATTATTCTTTGTAATAATGATGTCAGAACCAGGTGTATATGAATTAATTGAATCTTATAATTATATTAATAATGGTATACTTTTACGATTGTGCCTGGCTGGGGGTGGTGTGTAACTGCGGGTTCAAATTCCTTGGCTGATAGAGTGATGTCACCGTTGGATAGGGTGACCAGATAATCCATGTCATCCCGGACACCTTGAGCTACTTCAGGTTTTACAAACTACCTTAAAACCGAAAGGCTCCTGCGCTTGGCTAAATTGTTAAGTTCTTCTTGTGCTTTGACTGGTTTGTTTCCTTGACTGAAAGACTCATCTAGCTGTTTCACATTAACATTAGTGACACGTACATGGTTATAGGAGACTGACCATGCAATCAGCACACAGCAAGAACTCAGTGCTTAAGTGAAATCCAGGTCCTTTTAATTTAAATGGTAGGTTACAAATCCTGTCCTAGCTCAAGGTGTCTGGGATGACATGGATTATCTGGTCACCCTACCGTTGGACCCTTGAATAAGGTCCTCAACATCTGTTCTAGAAACTGACTGACCCGACCTTCTCAATTGTACATCACTTTGAATGAAAGTATATGCTAAATTAGTAAATGTAATTTAAATTCTTGTTATAACACTGATACAAATCACATTAAAAAACGCAAATAGTCAAAAGTGCAAAATTTCTGACACAGCTTAAATACAGGATGCTGTGCTTGAAAATTTCAAAACAATTTCTTTCGCACTGTTAGTTATTATCAGTTTTGTGGTCACTGGTGCTCTCATTTTGTGTTCAAGACCCACAACACAAGCTTTCAAAACAGGATGTGGGGTGGCCAGAGTGCAGATCACGAAATGGATGATATAGTTCCTATTGAGATCAACCATCAAAGATACTAATTTTGCATTATTTTCATCTGGGAAAAAAACTAAGTTGAACACCTCATTGAAAAATTTCAAGTCAGTAGTCTAAGGGGTTTGATGACACAAAGTGTCGCATTCTAACCTTTTGGCTTTTGTTGGAATGGAAAGTAATTTCTCATAAAAGACATCTAAAAGCAAAGAAAATGAAGTTTCCATTTGGCCTTACCTTCTTCCTTTTTCATTATGAGAGTTCTTGTGAGAGCTATTTGCACCTCGCCAGCGAACATGCCCACATGTTCTTCACACTGTCTGCTTCGTGAACTAACAAAAATATACTGTATATTAAACAGTATATTCTAATATATTTTAAATGACTTGTGAGACGTATGATGTATTTTCAAATATATGACTTAAGATATTGTTTATATTATATTTGTATTAAGTATAGATAAGTGGGTAATACTCATATCTAATTCAATTACTGCTCTATTAGTGCATGACAGATTATGGGGGCCATGAATTTGCAATTTGAAAATATTCATAAATTATTACACAAAAATACAACAGAAATTGTTAGTAGACCAAGACTAAAGTCATCCAGTTATAATTTTGCAAATGTATTTAAACAAGTTAAAATGACCTAATACAATTTTGACATTTTTTCTTTCCACACGACAATAAAGAACAATAGATGTGTGCAACAGCTGGTTGAGCAACACACAAAAAGCTCCAGATAGCTATTACAGCATGTGGAGTCATCAATAGTAACACTATCATTGTTAGGACATTAACTCATATATAAATATTGCAAGGACACGAGCAGTATAATCTTCAAAGAAATATCTTAGTGGAATGCACACATGAAGACATTTCTTTTTTGAGACACATAACATGTGGCAAATCACATAAAGTGCTGTGCGCCATGTCATTTACTGTATCAATAGCAAAACACTCCGTACTTCCCTGTTCCTCAATCAACAGGTATTTTTAAACATTTTCAATGTCTCCACTTTGTAACAGAACAGAGAAACTGTTTCTTTTCCTGACTTTTTTGAAGTCCTCTAGTACACAAGAACGTTATTAAATATCTGAACAACTGTGTCTGGTGTAACTGTTGCATGTTCTGGGTTTTCTTGAATAATGCATCGCAACAGCTGCAACCTTGCTGTTACTTGTTCAAAGCTTCTCAATTGCGCATGCGCAGACAAATCGTTGTTAGTACTTCTTCGCGCGCAGAAAATATAGCGACAGAAATGCAGACATATGCATTGTTTCCTGTAACGCTGGCCCAGACAAAGACGCAGTTAGTGTAATCGAAACCAAATGGGTAATAGACTTTGATTCAACTGACATTTCAAAAACTTATCTTGTGGAATGTGTATACGTGCTGCAATTAACAGGTAGGTTGCCTGGTAGCGCATTTATAAATTCCAAGTTGTTTCCTAAACTGATACTTTTAATGCTATTTTAGACACTAACTTTATAGCAGCTTAGTAATACAGTGCTTCGAAGTATGTTTTGTGAATTACATGCAATGCAACACAAATGCTAGCACGTTGCTAGGTCAGGGTTAGGCAAATTTAGCTACGCCAAAATCTGCTTTTCCTCTGCTTTCCCTGTCGTTGTATTGTGGTTTTTAGACATTTAGTACGATGATAAATATAATTTAGATCATGTAACTCATTTATATGTTTCAGATGAAGAAGCTGCTCTCAGATTGGCTGAGTGGGAAATGACTAAAGAGCCCTCTCCAGTTATGAACACCAGACGAATTAGGAAGCCAAAACGGCTGGATTTTTTAGAGGTCACAGAAAAAGAAGTCCGTTCATTTTCTCACATTAAAAAGATAATTTAAGGTAAAGAAACTATTGGCTGTGCTGAACTCAGCCCCATGTTAAGTTTGTGGAACACATTTACAGTGAACAAGTGAAAATCGATGTTTCGGTATCTTCTGACAGTCATGCGTTTGGTACCAGTCAAAGGTTTGGAAATTAAATTTTCATATTTTAATAGATTCTTCTTAACTTTTAGATTTTGCTTAACTAAATTTTCAAGAATTTCTGATTGGTGGGAAAAGCCAACTTTGTGCCTTACTGAGATGGACTTGAACTTTAAAAAGATGTTAAATATTTTTGTTCTGGTTGTACATCACAATGTCAGTTCCTCTATTAAATTTAATAGGGAGAAATACATAGTTTAGGTTTAGCGAATGAGAATCTTTCATAAGAAAATTTTATGAACATGTAAATGTAATTGAAACATGTTTGTTAAACAATACATTAAGTCAGCAATGTACAGATGTAATGTACTGTACATGTAAGTAAAGTCAAATACTTGTTCATACACAGGAAAGCCACACATGAACCTCCTGTTAGAGCTGCAGTTTGACACGCCATCAGCTATCTGTAGTGAGAGCTCAGATGACGGCAGGGTTAAGGAGCTGCAATCCAAATTAAGTCCTTACAAAAGGAAAATGCCAAACTCCGTAACCTGGTAACTCGAGGAAAGTAGTTTTTTTTGCGTTTTGTTTAATTAATTTCCTTCTGTGCAGTGAAGTTTTGCATCCATCCACCCATGTCATGGACCTGTCATTTGCTGTCTTTGTTTACAATTTTTCTGGTCAGGTGTATTGCAATAAAGTTACATAAAAGTCATTGCATTTGATACCACATTGGATGAAATCGAGACCACAGTTTAGTACAAGAATAGTAATCTTATTTTGAGTCAGTAATACAACATTACCATGGTTTACAAGAAAAAAAGTTATTTTGCATTTTGACATCAATAACTACAAAATAAATTATTAGTGACTTTCTTAGTAGCTTACAAAAGCTGCCTGTTTTTTAAACACAGAAATACCCGCAATGCTGACTGATATGAAAAAAGTGCTGAGCATTCATTTTAAAAGGGGTGAAGAGAGGGATAGTTACAACACCAATGGCACCACCCAGATGCTAAATCTGGTGAAGTGCGGGAGACCATCAACACAAGAATTTGTGAACTGAGACACCAAATGAAGAGCAAGACAATGGAGTCTACATCTACTGCAAACAACATGAATGTGTAGTTGATTTTTCCGATTAATCAGACATATTCTGTTTACAAAAACATGTTAATCAGGATATAAATTTGATAAGTTCAGAAACAAATAATATGTATAACTTTACAGCATTCTTCTGTAAAAATAATTTAAAAATAATTTGATGTTTTATAAATTTTTCTCAAAGTTTTGCTGAATGTTTTGTAAATAAAGGTCTAAATAAATGTTTTTTAGAAACAGACTTGTGGAAGAAGGATTATCATAAAACTATTTTTTTCTTTATTATATTTAAATTGATTATCTTTGCATTTTGGATAGAATTTAATAATACACAAGTGGAGACGTGACTACTGTTTTAAATATGTTTAAACATGTAATGTATCAGGAACAGTGTTGAACTGCTCACATTGTTTCTAGGTTGAATGTCATAAGGAAAACATTGAGTTATGCAATACATAATTTGCAAATATATCATTAGATGTATGATGTGAAGTAGGTTATATTAATAGTTATATGATTCCTAATATATTCTGAAATATATTTGAGTAAATGTATTTTTCAAACTGCACATCATACATCTAACAATACACTGACATTTATATTATAGTGTAGCTGCAAATATTATTAGATGTATGACATGAAATACTTTAAAAATATAACTCAAAATATATTTTAGAATGTATGAGATCATATAAAGCAATATATTGCATTAAAAGATTTTGTTCTTGTAAATCTCAATATATGAAAAGCGGCAATTGTTTATGTATTTTCCAATATATTATAATATATGAAAACATATGTATTCAATACATTTTTCCATACAGTATATTATAGGAATATGCATGTGTAACAATGCCACAAGACAACTAGCAAAACAATGTATATGGTAGCCCACCATACAGCCTGTCTCCTGTGGAATGTACCAGGCAGATATGTCTAGGGTTGAATTCTCGCAGAGAGCTTTTTAAGCGGCCAGGTGTAGCCTATGGAAATGGATACTAAAAGATGCTGTATAATTAAACCTCCCTTTCCTTAAATAATATTAACAGTGTGAGCCTCCGCTTTGAGACATATCTCAAAGAGTAAATAGACTAATGAAATATAAATTCAAACTAATAAACTGAACAGCAAACACTGTAAGCCATTCTGTTAATGTCACCCAGCAACAGTAATTTCAGATTCTTTTCAAATAAACCTCTGGCCAAGCGTTACAATTTAAAAGGAAGAACCACCATTTATTAACACCAGACCATGACGGTCTGCATTTGAACATTCGCACATACAAATACATTCAAAGCCGGATGACGACAACAACAACAAATAAAAGTAAATAAAATAAACCACCCGGGACTGTTTCAACCCACCGTCTGAGGCACCGTCTCGTCGGCGCGCATGTCGGAGCTCAAACCAAATAGGCGAATGTCCTCTTTACTCACACAGCGTAGCCGCCGACCGAGGAACAGCAGCTAGAAAAGTGGATGAACAGGAGAACTGAATCCAGATCAGCGTCCTGGCAAAAATAGTTCCCCGAATGGATAAGCTCCGTCCCAGTCCCCCGTCGTTTCCCCTAGACAACGTATTTCAGTCCGACCAAACAACTGAAGCTCAGACGCTCGTGCTGCTAACCGACAGGCCTCCACCATTACTTCTCCTAGTGGCTAGTAGCTATCCCGCGGATGGTTCGCTCCTCCGTGGGAAAAAAACATTTCTGGACAGAAACCGTCCAAAAACAAAAAAACATACACTTAATATTTAAACGTTTATCAATCCTTATTCAACTCTCTTTTCCTTAGACACAATCCCCCCCATCTCCGTCTCTCTCTCTCTCTCTCTCTCTCTCTCTCTCGCTCTCGCATGCTCCTCAACATCCCCCCCGGTTTTCAAAATAAAAGTCTCTTGTCAGTTCCTACTAACGGTATCACAAAGGCCACATAGAATTAAATAACAAGTAAATATTCTTAAGCAAACTCACACATTTTTATGAACATTTCAAACAGAAATAAAGCCATATCTCACAGGTGTGTTACACATGTTTTTTATTTTTTTTATTTTTTTTAATTTGTGGGATGAATAATGCAATTTGTGAATATAATTCCATAAGTTTAGTTTAGAAATGTTTAAATTGTTAGTAAATGTCCAATGTTGTTAAGCAAAATATATTTAAATATATTTTTGTTTTGTAAGGGTTGTTTTCTCTGCACCCTTGAACAACAGAAAACGTGTTACTTCTGAGACAAATCAAACTAATGAAATGAATAAACCCATCAGTTGCTGTCCAGATTCATGCTGCTGAGATTTCGAATAGGGAATCTGTCAAGTGGGTCTTTGGCTGGACATAAAATAACATGAAAGACAATAATGATTGCGCGGTCAGGGGAGGAGATAGTAATCTAAAAAACAAGAAAATGAAAACTTCACCTTTTCTGCTATTTCCTGTCATTTTCAGAGTGACATACATAAAGGCGGATGCGATTTTACAACAAGTGGGGAGTAACACGCATAGGGAGTTTTCCTACCTATCTCACACATCAGTCACCCTACTTACTGTGAAGCCACAGTGTTATTTATGCTCAGTCTTAAATGGCTGCTATAATTGTTCTGTTGCTTCTTCCAGTGGCCCTGGGTTCAAGTGATGGTAAGAGAGTACTACATGCTTCTTTTCATTTATGATTATTTTTTTTATCTTCAGTTAATTCTCAGCTCATGATAACTGAATATAATTTATGTAATTCTATAATGACACGAATAGTAAATTATCTAGCATCTTAAAAACTTACGTGAACGATTGTGGAAGTTTAATCTCTTACAGTACAAAATTACATGTGATTGACATGAACAAAACATACTTGTCAGACACAGAATTATGTAAACTGAATGTAATCCAACCGCGACAGACTATTTATAGATGAGATAAATGCTCAACAGTCAGTAAAAAAAACATTTTAAACTTTAAAAACCTTAAAGATAATTCTCTGGTATTTTAAAATGAAGACCAACCTTTACAGTATATACGAAAACAAAAAAGGACCAATGCAGGGCTCAAGAAAATAGAAAATTCTCTCAAAAACTTGGAATCCTTAAAATAGCCACCTTTTTCATTGATTACCGCTTCACAAACAGAAGGCGTTCGGTTCCAGCCGGAAATCATACAACTCGACTTGAATGGAAAATCATCGGATTGAATTCTGAAAACTGGACAGTCATCCTTCATTTTCCTGTTTGGGGTCATAATTTTGCTACCGTAATACTAAGTGACTGAGGTGCCTTTGAAGTATGCTATGATAGACATCGCTGATATTTGCTGATAAAGTTGATATCGCTGATAACTTGTTAAAGATCACCAAGTCACCAGACTGACTTCCAGTCCTGCTAATCAGCAAGTGCTAACGTTGAAAGTGTATATAATTATGGGTTCAAGAAGGTATACTCAAACTTTTTACTGACACTGTACATAAAAAAATAAAATGTATAATAAAGTATGTCAATTATATTTTAGAAAATATTATAATAATGATAAAAATAATATTCAATCTGATCTACTCCTGTAGTATAGCCAATTGTGTCAAGTGATAAACATTACAAGTTGCTTTTGGTAAAATATTCACTGAACAACTAAATGTCACTACAGGTGCTCCTTGACTTACGATGTGGTTATGTCCCGTAAGTGAACCTATCGTAAGTGGAAAGTTTAATATGAACATGGTATGACAAATAAATAAAAAAAAAATCACTACTTTCGCTGATTGCTGAATAATCAAACAAATACCAGTAATTGAAAAGTAAATAAATGAATACAAATTTATTTGGTTAAACTGAAAATAGCACTGTAAGTTTATGGACACAATCACTATAGAGCCTTGAAACATGGCTGCATGAATACTGCCATCACCTGGCATCAGTACCAAGTATTGTATCACTAGCCTGGCAACAGATTAACAAAATCATAGTTGACTACTGAAGGTGCATCGCTATCTCACCATCGTAAAGTCAAAATAGCGTAAGTCGAACTACCGTAAAGCAAGGAGCATCTGCACAGTCCAGTATTGTAAGTCATTAGTCATGTATTAGAAGTCATTATAGAAGATGACTGGATAAATCACTGAATGCAACAAATCAGATTACAAGTTTAAAATGGAAAGTTGTAAATGTGGAGAGTCGTTTTCCTGTTCGCATCACTGTGAAATCTTCTACAGAGTTGCAGGTGAAGCAGCCATTGTGGCAAGACATCAGTCCCAATGGCGTCGTCAATATTCCATGTTACTGCAGTGGGAAGGACAGGGTGGATGAGGAGCTGGAGATAAAGCTGATGAAGAAAAATGACCACCATTGGAGCTGCTCAGTCAATAATAAGACATCCCCACACTGCTCGGTGCAGAAGGAGGGCAGCAGGCTCACTATGTTCACCCTGTCACACCAGATGCCCGACGACGTGTACATCTGTCAGTGCACTAGGTTGCTCCCTCTTCCTGTCATCAAGCAAAATGGCACTGGAACCCTACTCATCCCAGGTGAGTGCTCACAGAAATGAACTGCAGACAAGCACATACAAAAACAAAGACAATAATAAGAGAACAAGTGTCAATGTTTAGCCCACAAAATATAACTTTTGCATTCTATATACAGTATATATCAGGGCTATTCAAATCACGGTCCTCAAGGTCCTCAAGATTTTCCAGCCTTCCTTCATCTATATGAGCCAGGTGTGAAGCCCCTCTAGCCAATCAGAATCAGTAATTATCAAAGTAATTACCAGGGAGAACTGAAAACACGGTCTGGATTTGGAATCTAGGTCCAGATTTAAATAGCCCTGATATTGTTTTTTTTTAAGTGATTGATTGTCATTGCTGACAGACTGCAACAAAATGTGTCCTTTGCATTTAGCCCATATGTATCATAGTATCAGGCAGCTAATTCGGTACTCAGGGAGCAGAGTTTGGGGCGGTACCTCGCTGGTCAGGGATTTGAACCAACAACCATTCAATCACAAGGTAACTTGCACAGCCATGAGGTCACCACTATCTAGATACTCCAAACCTCTAGCTATCTTATCAAAAGGTGTCTAGGATAAGTATGCTGCGTAGGAGTACAATAGCTTTGAACAAGAAACCATAAGGTGGTAAATTGACAGCATGTAATTCATCACCAACTACTAGTTAATAAAAATAAGCATCTCAAATAGTGAAAACTATGGTTCTGAAAGATTTCAAATTAATTCTTTGAATTAAATACATAAATAGTGATACAAATTGTGTCTAGTCCAGTGTTATGTCAGCACCTATGTATATCTCCTTAAACCATCCATCCGTAATAAAGTAATATAGCACCGCACATCCGGTAGATGGTCGCTACATAACGAGATACTGTCAGAAGGACAACAATGTACCCCCCCCATCTAATCCCAAATCCTCTCACATGCTCCAACCTTTACCTCTAGCCCCCCTACAGTGGGCTTGGCTGGTATCAAATATTTTACCGTAATACCGTCCACACAGTATAATCCGGTATACGGTATTTTGACAGTGTTTTCAAAATTAACACTATTCCGGCATTTTGAAATCTTGGTGGGGGTGGGGTGGGGTGGGGTTGCCCCCACAATACTGAAAATATTACCCCAGTACCACCCAACTTTGTGTTTAATGTCATTAGGGCTCAGCAGCTGTTTTTTCATGCACCACCACTGACTTTGACTAGGGCTAAATATCAGTTAATACTTCACATTTCCACATGACGTTAATCTGTGCACAAGCAGAGTGATGTAAATTCACTCATCAGGGGTGTCGGGTGGATTGTGCAGATGCAGCCCAGATATCGGTGTCCAGCAGATATTTTGCACGTCATTGCTCCTCGGTTGCGCATGTAGAAGGAAATTGCATGTTTCCAGTTTTCCAACAAAAGAAGAATAGTTGTAATTATGGACATTTCTGATAAGCAAATTGTGTGATGGAACACAACGTATTCTGGTGCCTAAATGTGTAGAAATCATGCTAGGCAAAGAACAGAATGCAGATTGAAATATACAGTGATATTTCCGGCACTGCAAGAACATTGCATATATAATGCAGTTTAGTGTTTTGTGCATTTGTGTCACGCCCCGCTCCGTCCGATCCTAATGTGTGCCACGCCCACCTCGTTACCTCGTGTTCAGCCCTGATTGTGATCGCCTGTGTCCTATTAAGTCTAGCTTGTCTTTTGTATTTAGTCCTCGTCTGAGTCAGTCTTCCCCAGACTTGTCATTGTAGTGTCCGTTGATGTCCGTGCCTGTTCATCCCTCCCAAAATAAACCCCGTTTCCCTGACTACCTGGCTCCGATCGCCTGCCTACCTGCACCGCTCGTCCACGAACGTGACAATTTGTAAGCAACATTTAAGTTTATTTGTTATTGTTCATTAACACACAGTGTGTGTGTGTGTATGTGTGTGTGTATATATGTATATATACTGTACACACACACATACACACTCTACAGGCCAGAAGTTTGGGCCCACCCTCCAATTTTTAAAAATATAAACGTTACACTGTTTTTTTAGACTTTTATTACAAGAAAATATTTTAAAAGCTTAAAATAAGGGTGAATCTCACTACCAAGAACACAAGGACCACACTTGTGTTCTTGCTAAATTGCCTCCCAAGAACAAACCTGAGGGGCAATGAATCATGAGATTGGTCTCATTTGGTGAAGATGCAACCGATTATCCTGGACATTTGGAGCGAAGCAAGATGAACATCTAGGGATTTTTACCATCCTCATGTTCTTAGTATTGGAACTGGTCTTCGGCACTGGAAGATGATGTAAAATGGGAGAACACAAGTACAGTCAAGTATGCATATTGAGATTCACCCCAAATCTAAATTGTGTCTTTTAGCCTATCGTAGTCTCTTTTTCTTGTTAACACCATGAAGTAAAGGGTTTCTGGCAGAAACTCGACCATGCAGTCCAGCTGCTCTCCGTCTTTGTTTGACTTGCCGGTTTCCCTCTGTTCACAGTAATCAGCCCTGATTACAGTCATCTTCCAATTTTTTATGCATGTCTCAACTAACTCACTTTCCTTGCCTCAGACACTGTTGCTTCTTGTCCACCTTTTTCTCTGTAAACAGTAGGTCACTCCATGCTTAGAAACATTCAACTTTCTGGCTGTTTGTCGGTGAGAAATTTTAATTTTAGCCCTCTGTTCAATTATCTTCACAAGGTCAAATGTCTTCTGAGGTCACCCTTCCCTTTCCTCCCACCAAGTGTTGCTGCTTCAGTTTTGTGCCATTTGATCAGTTCCAGGTCGTCACCCATGCAATGTGCCTGCAAAGTTTGAAAAAGATCCATCAAATAGTTTTTTAGTTACCGTGCTAATGAGAATATGTCTATCGTGGCAGTGGACCTATCACAAAACCATATTTAGTCCTCGTTCAGGGAATACAACAATCATGTAAAATGTACAATCTTTATTTTATCATAGGAATCTATGCATGTTTTGGCCAGTACATGATGGACATGAAGGAATCACATGACATTCTTGACATGGTAGTGAAGATAGTGAGGATGAATGGATGACATGGGCAAACAGACAAGAAAACAGAAAGGCTACAAAATGTGTTAAAGAGTGTATATATTAAATCAACCAAAAATATTGGCTGATTTAACAATAAAGTTAGCTATCTACTTATCTAGTTAATTCAGCTATCTGCCTCCTTGCCAAAGTCTCCAAGGAGAGCAGTAGAGAACATTATTTTGGTGACCTCTGTTTTACTACGAACATTTGTGATTTGCTAGGCACAGCCATTCAATCCCTGCTTATAATGTATACAAAAATTATTTCAAAGATAAAGTCAGTCCTGCTGCAATGTGTGAAATCACACCACAAATCTGTTCTAATGCGACTGATGTATTGCATTTTTATTGCATTTTTATTTGCACAATTTTCAAGTCAGAGAGATAAACACTACACAAACTACAACGCGATATGGTCTAGGCGAGAAACACTACTTGCATGCAAAAACAGCTATCCAAGTGAACTATTGTGATGTCTGATTCTTTTGAACTAGTTCCATTTTGCCTTCAGTGGCCCTCCACATACTGTAATCAGTTTGATTTGTGCATGCTGGGGATGGTGGCTGTAGCTCGCTACTCCTAACTCTCTGAAATCCAGTATCGTTAGTGAGTTCTGCACATTAGTACACCCCCTTGTGAAATTTTAGCAAAGTAATGTTTGCAAAATGCATTCCTAATGTTTTTTCAGTAACATTAAATTCCACACAACAGATGTTTTTCTAACTGTTTAGTGTGCAGGTGTGCAAAGCAGTATGGATCACCATATTAAAGGGAATTATCAGCGGTAAATATCGGCTCATTGTTATTCATTGGCTGATGGCCCATTGTTGCTGCATGGGCCGCTACTGATAATTGGCCCATACATTTGATGCATTTTTAATTATTGTTTCTTATTTAAAATTACATTATCGGCCATTATTGGTATCATTGTTTTTATGATTTAGTTCATTTTGTTTGTAAGGTACTAAGTTTTGGAGTCATGTTCCCCAAACCCCATTTTTTCCATTGGATATGTGTGTTTTAGTATGCAATTTTAGTGGATGCAAGGTTTTTCAGGAACTCATTAGCAGGACTGACTGCAGTAAGAAATACTTCCCTGCAATGAAACCATATTAAAGCTTTGGATCATAATCAGTGCTCATTATATGTCTGTGTCCTTCTGTTTTCCTCATAGAGATACAATGTCCCATCTTAAACTTCTGGACATGGACTCTGATTGGAGTGGCAGGATTCTTCTGTCTTTGCAGCCTTTTTCTAGCATGTGCCTACATAAAGTTGAGGGTAAGTTATGCCGGCGTGTCACAGAACACTACTACCTTTTCGGTCGTAGTTTTGCAGATATAAAGACAGACTGCTACTATTTTTTTGCAGGTCTTGCAGTCTGAAGAGACAGATGATTCACTAACCTATGTACAGATGCAGGTATGTTGAACAACCCACCCCATAGGAGACAGAAATAAAAAAAGGGAATAAAAATATATAAGCTGTTACATATTTGATGTAATCTAAATAAGTCAATAACTGATTTTCCAGAGGAAGAGGCGGGACCCAGACACTAACGCTGAGTATGTCGACATGCGGGAAGTGCACTCAGTTGGCAGAGGCTCTGGAAGAGACATGAATCACAACTCCCAGCAGTTTCACTCTATGTCATACCCAAGCAAGTGAGCGCTTCACATAATTGCATTCCTTATCAAGCACATTTTGCTGTATAAGCAGCTGCTGAAGAGCAATGACTGATTATTGGAATAGGAATGTATGATCTATGATCACTGTAAATAAGCTTTCCTGTTTATTTTAATATTCTTAACCTGTATGTTAAGGCAATACTGTCATATGCACATATATAAATATATATATATAAGGATATCATTTCCAGAGCCACAATGAAGTAAAATAAAACGTCTTCTAAAACTTAGGCTTTGAATGTCTACATACGGTACCTATGAAGGACACAGTAGCAAGAAATTCCTTGCTGTGGAAGCTGATACACAGACATTGCTATTGGCCCAAATCACATTTAGCAAATATATCAGCAGAAAATAGAAAGTAGTGATGTACTGTATCTATAGAAATAAAACTGTGAGTGTCATTTCATGGAACCCAGAGTGTCGTATGTGACTTGGATGTAGTTAAATATCAGTGGAACTTTCAGCAACACGTTGTGACATCCTCCGCCCACTTATCTACTTTTTTCTTTGATGTTGTTCACTCATGTCATTTCCCGTCACTGCTGTGCTGACATTACTTAAATTCCCTGAAAAGGCATCTGTGAAAAAAAGAATTCAGGTTATTGAATATATATTGAAAGTACATATTTGTAATGTACATTTTTTTTGCATGACGTGTTTAAAATGGAGTCACAGAACATTGTGGCTTAAGAGGAGAAAGGTCATCAGAATTCTGCTGATCTTTCCTGGAGGCAGACGGAACCTAAGTGGCTCTCAAGTCAGCAGCTGCTGGTTTCATGCAAGATCCACTTACGGCTACATGCCCATTTATTAAACACATAAAATAAATCTACCTAAGCTGTAGTTGTACCTAGATGAAGACAAACCACAGACCACAGAGACCCCATTCTGGTTTGGCTACACAGTCACATAATGACAAAAATTAACAACGTCACAACTGAAGGACAAACCACTCAAAAAGAAAATACAGGGAAATATATTTTAGTGTCTTATAAACTTACATTTGCATTAGTTAGCTTTGCTCACAAGGCACCACTGCCATCCTAAACCATCCATCCATTTTCCATCTTATCCTTTTCGGGTTGTGGGGGGTTTGGAGCCTGTCTTGGAATCTATGGGCATGAGGCAGGGAACAACCCAGGATGGGGGGCCAGCCCATTGCAGGGCACACTCACACACCATTCACTCACACATGCACACCTATGGGTAATTTAGTAACTCCAATTAGCCTCAGCATGTCTTTGGACTGTGGGGGGAAACCGGAGTACCCAGAGGAAACCACACGACGACATGGGGAGAACATGCAAACTCCACACACATGCAGAGTTGGGTAATTCAGGTCCAGAGAGTAAAAGTCCAGACCAGGATTTTGTTTCAACCAGCCAGTTGAGTACTCTGTGACTGTGACTCTATGTACAACTGGTTGGTTGAAACAAAATCCCAGTTTGGACTATTACTATCTGGACCTGAATTACTCAACTCTGATTATATGCAAACATAAATATATATATTTTTTTAACTTGAGAAGCATCTGAAAATTGCTGTGTATTTTCCCAAAGAACAGTCCTAATCATAGGAACCAGCAAGGAAAGTAGCAGAATTCTCAAAATATGTTACCTTAAAGCAGGGGTCTCCAACTCCAGTCCTGGAGAGCTACGATCCAGTAGTTTTCTATCCTACCAGGCTTCTGATGAGTGACACCTGTTCCTGGTATTTACCCAAAAACAGGTGTGGCTCATAAGATGGCAGGTTGGATAGAAAACCAACTGGATAGTAGCTCTCCAGGACCAGAGTGGAGACCTCTGCCTTAAAGTGATTTCTGCATACACTGTAAGTGTTACAAGCTGAAAGTACAATCACAGCCACACAACATTTTTTCAACCTTCTAAATTCAGGAGAGAAACATACTTTGTATACTATTTGCTTCTAAAACTACTTTTGATGGATAAACAGTTAAGGAAGATGGATAATAATTAAATGAGATAAATCTCGACATTTACACTCTAAAAAAGGGGTAAAAATTTGTACCTTTGTTTGTCACTGGGGCTGTACCCTCAAGGGTCTGCCAACTGTACCCTTAGCCGTAGGTAATTGGAGCGAAATATGTATCTCACGGTCAATGCATGAGACTTGAGATCCCTGCCTACCGCACTCATCCGATCTTGCTCTGCCACTTCCACCTTGTCTGCACTCCATATATATGCCCTTTTGGAATTTACCCAGAAACAACAAATACTATTTTATGATTGGCTGGTAGGTGGCTGTTAACTCTGTATAACTCGGGACAGTTATGAAATCTACTCCATTAACCTGCGCATCATCCATTAATTCTATATAAGACAACACTCTGGAGGGTGTTATGCCTCACTTCTCAGGGTGGGAAACACAAGGTGTGGTGTGTGAGCCTGTCAACTGGTTGAAATGCGTGTGTCTCACGGTCAATAGTTTACAATTTTAAAAGTACCTATACGCCAACCTTCAAACTACGCTACACAACCTACATACCAATGCAATGCCGCACCTCTGTTAGGTGACCTTCTAGTAGTTTTCTGTATTTCTAGAATGTTTTTTAAAATTCAGCACTACTACTGAAACTACTACAACTGAAACAATAGCATGCACAAAAATGACTAATACTATAACTATTGCTGCTACAATACCAGTAGTTGCTCACAAATACAACTAGTAATTTTTTACTGTCGATGCCAGTGGTCCCAGTGCTGGCCGAAGGCAATGCGTACCCCTAGGCAAGCTTCTCTGCCAGGGTCCCATTAGTATTAAAATAATTATCACTTCAATTACAACTACCATTATTACTGCTGCTATTTCAAAAACCACTACTTTCCAATACAATCAGGACTAACGTCAGCTCTATGACAATGCTCATCACCCTGTTAATTTGATCAATGGGATCATTATAGTACAGTATCTATCTATAAACAGAAGCTGGATTTATATAGAGAAACACTAATTTTGCTTATACATTCCAAAATGCAGTATTATATTATATTTTCTATTGCACTGCAAGACAAATAATAATAATAATAATATTAATAATACCTATGTAATTTGTTAAAACATAAATTGGGGTGGCAGTTTATCATGGGGGGGGGGGGGGGGGGGGCTTCTATGGGGTCTCAGTCACTGCCTCTCTAAATGTGAATAGCTGAGCCATAGGTACACTGTCTGTAACTGGCATTTGTTGCCCTATAGTAGTTACTTAATTGGAAAGTACAGTGTCCAGATAAATCCATGTCCATGTGTCTGTTAGGAAAGGATTTGTAAACTACCATGTTAATTGAAGAAAGATTCATCCCCCTGTTTTCAATTAACAGTAATGATACATGCATGATGATTATAGGACACTATAACCAGTCCGTGCATGGCAAGGACTCAGTGCTTAAGTAAAATCCAGATGCTTTTCACTGGAATGGTAATTTACCAATTCTGTCCTAGCTCAAAGTGTCTTCCCTGAAATAGATTATCTGGTCACCCTGTTGGAAACAGGCCACATGTCACTCTCGATGCCCTGCAATGGACTAGCATCCCATACAGTGTGCAACCCAGCCTTGAGCCCTCTATCGCCAGCGATAAAGTCAAGGGCCCCTGCAGTGCTCAGGACAAGCGACTGATCTTACTTTGCTATTCCACCACTCCATTTTTATTAATTTTATTTACCTGCAACTGTAAACTATCCCAATGTGGCGTGAAAACCTCGAACCTGTTACTGATATTTCAATGAGAAATATCTATCGGAACGAATACAATTTCACGACTAACTCTTGTTTCCCACCGAATCCTACAATGTAACGCCAACTGGTTACCAAGCAACCAGCTATCCAAACAAGCATGGCAAAATTTGTGCTAGCAGGTAAGAATTAAAATCCCATTTTCAAAGCAATTGTTGATTGTTGTCATAACACCTGGTGTTTACTTTTAAGTAACGTTTTGTATATAATAGGTACGCTACTGCTTTTCAGATGCCTCAGTTGGACTGATTGTTTTCACGATTAATCTTAATGTCTTTATCCATGTTAATTGTATTGTTCGTAGGCAAAGCTGACTGCCCAAACTATGCCAAAGCCGAACATCTGTCAGACTCACTGCAGAGAAACCTACCAAACTTCCAGATTCATAAAATCTGTCAGCACCCAAAGGACTGGCAGGTAGCTGTTAAAATAGATGGAAGCTGGAAGATTTTTTTAAGCATATTATTAGGAAGACCACATTTTGCTTTGCGAAAAATGAGTTACCGGAGGCAGGACGGAAAGAGAGGCGTCAAAGCAACGCAAATACGCACTCAGAAAGTATTCGGACTGTATAAAGCAAATGTCATGAAACAAAACAGAATCCCGGGCATTTTACGCATTCTTAGGTCCCAAAAACAGGGTGTATGGCCACTCTAATATTCTTCACAATCACAGTGTTATTCACCGCTATTACCTGCGTGTCGACACTAGCCAGTTGGATGAGTTTTACAAACGTTTCCTATACACATATTTAAAATCAGGGGAATTAAAAAAAAAAGATTTAAAACTTCAGAGTTCACCAGCTATAAATATTTGGTCCCCTTCAAGAAAAAAATGGCATGACAAAGCTCTAAAAAATGCAAACATAAATATGTAAATTCCAGCTTCCCGCGAACGCCGTCTTCACATCAAGCGCTCAAATATTCAGTGTTGTTCTATGCCTTATAATTATTCAGTCCAGTACATAAAGGGATAATTGAAAAGAAATCCATCTAATACACAGTGAAAATGATACACAAAAACCTGTGGACTTTGTTTACATCAGTTGTTTTGACGAAGGAATCCTTGACCTTTATCAAGAAATTCAAGTTTCATAATAAATAGAAAGGTTACATGCAGAGGCGTTAGTTACCGCATTTAAATACTTGGGCGAACAGCGGCGTTCTACATTAGTCATCTAAAAATGACTGCATCCACATGGTTCATCAATCGATGGATTTAATTATAGGGATACCTGGAAATGTGCTTTAATGCTGCACATGCTAATTAATTAATCTTATTTGCTACTATTGTATAAAGAAAAAAAGATAACACTTTACTTGATGAGGCACAAATAATAGGATATAGTATTATGCTATTACTTATGTATTAATTAACCACAAACTAAGTCTTAGTTACTTAGTTACTATATTTGTTACCATATCTGTTACTTTTGTAAAGCTTTGTGAACTACTGAAGTAATGAATAACACATGTGAAATACTGATCTCATGTTTGTTCATCATTACTAAATTGTGACATCTTTTACCTCAAGTTGCACCTATCTTTGTTCATGATTTGTACTTCAGTAGTAATTGAGTTATTATTACTAAGTATTTGTGCCCCATCATCCTTGATTTGTTGCTCTTAAGCTCTTTTCTAGTCAGTTCGTAGCTCTCTGTTAGCACACTTTCACAATATTTGCCTCAGTGGGAATTCATGACATTTAGCAGGAGTGGGTGGGAGCAGAATTACAATTTTCTCAAAGCCGTGAGACACTTGTTGATCTCACTCTTCTATTCCTCCTCTGTAGCAATGGCTGGAGGCGACCTGTAAAGACAATGGCTGGAACCATGATCGTTCTCCTATAGTCTGGAGGGAATTGATTGACCGTGGAGGGAAGGGCTTGTTGCTGGGGGGGTTAAATGAATTTCTGGACCATATTCAGGTATTAATATAATTTTATTGTGTTATATACTTTTAATTCAAAGTTTTTGAGGAATAATCCTCTCATCACTTTTGAAGGGATACTATGGTATCACCTCAGATATGACTGATGAGCTGATGATGAAGGTTGCAGCAGAGAACCTGGACATAAAAGAGCAGTGCATGAAGGATGAGGTCCACTGCCAGAGCCTCATTAAACCACTGCACATCTGGATTAGCAGGTACGGATGAAGCTAGTGGGGAGGTTAGGTCAGGGGTAACACTAAAAATCTTGGATCCCCAACCCCAGACCACTGGTATGTTCCAGGCTTGCTGTTAATGTCCAGACCCTCTGAATCATTCAGGGTTTCCACCCTGCTTACAGTGCCCCTGGATTCAATCTGCATACTTAGTTGATACTTTTGTCCTAAGGAACCACAAGCGGGGGATTAGAGAACAGGGCCCATCAGTCTACCGGCCACAAGATTTGAAGCTGTGCCCTTTCAGTCAAATGCAGAGCCTTAATTCAGAGAGTCACACACTGCTTCTCAGGAAAGGGAGGGTGCATTGGAAGGCAGCCACATCCAGAAATGGCAGTCCTGTCTGAAACATGACAGTAATGGCCAGAGAGATCAAAATGACTCTTTTTCGTAACTTTTTTTCCACCATCTACTCTTCTGGTGTGAAGGAAATTTTAACTTGTCTTACAGCGCTTCAGTTGTGCTACACTTTCAAATACACCATGTAGTACAACAACAATTGTGAGTTAAAGTTCAGTGGAAAGCACAACCATCTTCGTGTTGCAGAACCTTTGGAAAATGGATGCTTCAGCGTTGAACTCTTCAGTAAACCCCTGAAATTCTAAAATTAGACAAAATTTCTCTTTCCCTAAACCTGCAGTTCACTGTCCCCTACTTGCTACCACCTGATTCCCCTACTGCTTGAGCCTGGTATGTTTCGAGACTCCCCCAAAATCCACCTCCACTTGCTGGACGTAGAAGGGGACAGTGAGGCACTGCAGGGCCTCAGGATGGAGGCTGAGGACATGGCTCTTCCCCTGCTGCACAAGGTGACTGTACACACCAGCTTGGAAGATGCTTTCCACAAAGCCCACCTCATTATTACCCTGGATGACTTGATGTCAGAGGAGGCCGGCAGAGAACAAAACATGGCGAAGACTGCAGAACGTTTTCGAAAATACGGCCAACTCATTGATGGGAGAGCGCAGAAGGAGGTGCGAGTCATTGTAGCAGGAAACTCCTTCATCAACTTAAAGTGTTCTGTGCTTTTGGAGAATGCACCTTCCTTGATGTACAATCGGTTTGTAGCCCTGGCAACCCAACCTGTAATGGAGGCAACAGCCCATATCGCACAGAAGCTAAATGTTAAGTCCGCAGGTAATAGACTTTTCTCCACTCTTCCTCTTTATCATTAATATAAGTCATAGTACTACTCTTTGGGTCATTTTGTTTCAATTTCTCTGCAATCCAAGTGTCTTATATCATATGATCAATTACCCTGTATCGTAAGTGCAATTAAGGAGCCCCTTAGTTATCAGGGTAGAAAGAAAATTGCCATGCAGTAGCTCTCGACCTGTAACTAATCTGAGAGAACGAATTACTAACTAATTCGACTACAGGACTAATTCATTAGAACTAAATATTAAATCAAGAATACAAATTACTAACTCAAGACCACAAAATACAAATTATTTTTTCTACCATATTAAAGCCCATAGCAGAGCATAACTTTGAAATTATTTTGTGCAAAATATTTCTCACTTCATCTGAAATGTGTGTGCAAGTATCTGTAACACAAAATCGAATCAGTGTCAATATAAATTCCGCCCAGTGAAAGATTTTTAACCCTCATTTTATTGTTAGATGTGAGAAATGTAATCCTCTGGGGGAATGTCGGTGGTACCTGTCATATTGACCTGCAAAAGGCCAAAGTTTTCCACTATGAGGGGGCAGTCCAGGGACCCCCAGGATTCTCCCAGGCTGTCCTGGAAATCATTCATGACAGGTAATATGTTTTTCCCCTTTAAGTGATGCCAAAAGTGTGATAAATTCAGTTCATCTTTGTCTAGAGTCTATGAATATAGAGGTTAGGAGTCCAAAAGTTTAAGAAATGGTGTCATTCATGATAATGCTGCTACAACTTGCACTGCAACAATTACCCATTTTAGAGAAGCCATTTTTTTTTGTCTTCTGAAGTGCAAAACTTAGTGTAGCAGCGCCACCCAGTGATTCCTTTAGTAATATTTGAACTTTCTGATTTCAGAAATGACGACCCAAAAGGCTAATTTTTCCAAACCTGGTCCTCAAAATTTTCCATCTGCTTGGCTTTTCAGCTCTGACATTTGTCATATACAGTCGTCCCTCGCCATTTCGCGCTTCGACTTTCGCGGCTTCACTCTATCGCGGTTTTTTCAAATACATTTATTCATTAAAAAGTTTATAGACAGTGGAAATGATACAACGCGCGCTCGGTTGTCTGAGTCAATTATACACCCCTGTATTACAATTAAAATTAAAATTACTGTACGTATGTGTCACCCTTTAGCCAGGAAAGAGGCGGAGATTCAGAAATGCAGGGACCAGAGGGGTTTAATGGGAAGAGCAGGTTACAGTCACGGGAGGAGAACAATCCCGTTCTCTGTGGCGAAACCTGCTTTCCTCTCCCGATGGTACGGGCGAGGGCTGCTGACGCGAGTGGGGTCTCCCACTCGGAGAGCCCGTGCAGAAGTACAGAGTCGGCGCGCAGGTATCGTGGTCTAGGTGCGTGGTCCGGGGTCGATGCCAGTGAAGTCCGTCCGACGATGACACAAGCTGACAAGGAACAAGAGGCGGGGAGCGCAGGACGTGGTGAGACGGGAGAGTCAAGGACGGGAGCGGGTCTAAGGAGGGAAGGCAAGGAGGCAGGGATCAAACACCGGGACGACAGGTAAGGCAGGATGACGTGGGAAAACGGGAGACAGAAAAAACGCTCAGCAAGGCTCGGTAACATTGGCTCAATACTTCGCGATGCGCATAGGCAACTGTTCTCCTTTTAAACAAGGTTAAGCAGGTGCTGACGTGTTGCACCTGACGGGCCCCGCCTTCGAGGGCGTGACAGTATGGACTGTAGGCATATGTATTCGAGCACCCCAGCAAATCCTTCAACGCCAGGTGCAGCCGAATAATAAAGAAATAATGAATCCTACTTCGCGGAAATTCATTGAACGCGGTAGAGTCTGGAACGGATTAACCGCGATAAACGAGGGACGACTGTATTTACATTAATGAAATTCTTCATATAGATTTTTTTTAGAAATTAATTTAAAACCGTGAAGAGTGAAGAAAAAAATCTTCCTTTCCTAGCTGTTGACTTTAACATGCATGTTGAATATATAGATAACCAATTATTATTGTAAATCTTCTTGATCTTGAAAGAATTCTAATTATTTATGCAAATTCAGTTTAGGATGATGCAATTTACAAACTTTTGTAAACCTCCTGAGGACACTAACATGCTTTCTTAACACAAGTAAATGTGATTATTTAGAAAAGCGATTTGCACAACCCAGTCAAACATAACTAACAATTAAATTGACTGGGAAAAGATGCAAGCAGGGCTCACGGAGGTACTTAGGACCAGCAGTGGGAAATCTTATCTTTGGGGGCAAGTCACACCAAAGGTGTGTTTTTAATACTCCTGCACTTAAAGTTCTGTCATTTTCAAAGCAGATCAAAGAGACCATTGGCACCAATTGCTGAATGTCATCCAATCTCACACAAGTTGCACCGCTCATAATCTATCTCTGCTTCATGACATTTCTGTTTCATGAGCAACTATGGAGAATAAGAGGATTTGAAGTATGTGTAGCAGTGTAAAATGTAAGACAAAATAGGCATTGAAACTAACCTAGTACATCAATCAGTAACACTGTACTTGGAGACATGAATAATGTAGTGGTACATACTTATTTAATGCATTAATTGTTTAAGTACTAATCCCGTGTTCATTCAGCATTAATCAATCATGACAGTTCATGTATTTGATGGGGAAAACCTATATTAGTTTATGATTTGCTCTTGAGTAGAAAATTAGTTAATTTTTGTCTTACCATTATTAGCTACTTAGTTAACTGTTAACTAATATAGTGGCTGAATGAAATGCATGAACTGTCGTGATTGATTAATGATGAACAAGCATGGGATCAGTATGTAACTAACACGTAGTTATTGGGAACTCTTAGTTACTTAGTTAACTAGTGCATTATGTAAGCATATACTACATTATTCATGTTCCTTCAAGTAAAGTGTGATCCATCAGTCAAAGCCCTAAGGGGCTTGAGTTTGATCCAAGCTGTTACATTAGTTGTTTTTGGCAAGGAGGCTTAGAGGACACCAGTTACCTGTCTTTGTGTGGGCTGGACAGCTGGCTGCTTTGCCTCTTATTACTGCTCAGCTACATGTGTCAGCTTGGCATTGAGAGTGCTAAGGGGGGAGTACAGCTCCCTGTTGTTGGATGAAGCCATAGAGCAAAATAAGCCAAGTAATAAAATACTAACTTATCACGGTGTTATTGTATGTCTAATTATATATTCTGTTTGTATATTATTGTTGGTGTACTGGGTGTGGTTGAATTAATAAGCATTCCAATGGATGTTTTGCACAATAACACTTCTTGAATGGAAAGGAAGCCTTTGGCTGACAGATCATGCATTAGAAGAGCTCTGTGCTAGTTTCAGGGAGAAGCCTGTACTTGGATTAACTGGCCATTTCATATGGGCTACAAATGGAGCAAACACTGGAAAAAATATGAAAAATTCCTGGTTCTTATATTTTGGCTTATTAGGAATGCATTTTGTAATTTATAGTGCATTTTAAAATTTATAATTATGTTTAGCTGAACTCTACATAGCAGGTCAAATATCTAAAATACATGTGATGCATGTTGCTCTAAAGAACATTTATGGGATCACAGTCTTAGGCTATAAACCAAGACCCATCTGTTTTCTCAATCAAAAGGATATGGCTTGAGACTGACTTCCTGGACTTGTTGAGCACCCACCGTGCAAAGCTCTTAGCAAAGACCAAGAGGACTGCAGCTCTGTCAGCAGCCAGTGGGATTGTTGCTGTTTTAAGAGCCTGGAACTTTGGCTCTGCTCCAGGGGAGATCCTCTCACTGGGCGTGCTCAGTACAGGTGAATTAGCAATTACAGGTATACATTAAAAAGCCATATCCTTGGTAATGAGTTTACCAGCCAGGATTATATCCATATGGGCTGTTTTAATGGTTTCACAGGGCAGTTTGGCATTCCTGCTGGTCTGGTGTTCTCCTTACCTGTGAGCTTCCAGCATGGGGCTTGGGTTGTACCACATGACATCTTCATTGATGACCATCTTAAGATTAAACTTCAGGCTGCTGCCTTCCAGCTTCAAGCGGTAAGGATGAGCAGCTCTGCCTAAGGATTAGACAGACACAAATATGGTATTAAATTCTCAAGTTCAGGAACAATTTGTTAGCATCAAGAAGCTAGTTTGGACCATCAGATGTGCCACTAAAGTCTATTGCATTGCCTGTAATTTTTCTGTATCACCATGCTTAAAGTATTAATTTACATTTGTTTTTTAGGAAAAAGATTCCATCAAGATTCAATAACCCAAATCAAGAATCAATAACCCAAAATAAAATTAAGACCAGATATTTTCTCATTTGGTGTTTCCAAGTTTTTTTATGTAAGATAAGAAATATAACACAACAAAAGTGAGCGCACCCCCACCCTTACCACCAGCTTAAATTACTCAGTGCTGTGGTACTCAAGTCTGGACTGGGCTTGAGTCTGGTCTTGAGTCCACAGAGGAATGAACTCTCTCTTGTCACGCATCTGTGTTAATTTTTACTTGGTCTTCATTTGGATTCCAACACTCTTGACTGGAAAAACCTTCTATCAGAGTCTATAACGTATGTCTGCAGCCTGTCTGCAGCTTTATGTTTTTCTAATTTTGTGCACCCAGTCATGCCCCTCATCACGTCTGCCAAGTCAGCAATTATCTGGTTTGCATATAGAAATGATAAGATGTTTCTGTGCAAGACATCCAGTAAGAAGAAGCACACAGCAGAATACAGATATTGGAAAGCTGGGGTCATCGGCACGATTTCCTGTTTCTACCGACATCTGGAAAGGAAACATAAAGGCAAGTATATAATGGCAGCAAACTCTGTTTGTGTATAGGCAAGGAATGGGCAGTCGTCCAGCCAAAATTGTTTTACATAGTGACCTGGCAATAGCTGTCCAGCTGGTTAGCCAACATTTTCTAATAATAATTATCGTTGTACTATATTAATTCCTGTGTCAGAAATTCTCTTTTTCACATTCAGAGAGACACAAGAGAGTGAAATTTGGGATCAGATCCCAGAGTCAGTTGGTGTTCAGCGCCCCTCTTGTAGGTTTGTTTGAAGGTCTTCCTCAGGAGCCTACGGGTGGCATGATTAACCTACCAGGGGCAGAAATAAAAACTTTCCAGCTGAAAAAGTTCAAATGGCAAAAAAAGGGTGGGCATGCGAAATACATGGGGTCCTCTGGTTACGACATATCGACGTACGATGTTTCGACTTTACGACACTCACTCCCATAAAAACTTTTAAAAACTGAGACGTGAGTGGTTTGACTTACGCTGTTAGCGTCGTACTTACGCACTACGTGGGCGAAGTAGTTTGGTTGCTTGCGCCGGAAGAACGCGGCATATGAGTGAGGGAGTTGCCGTACCCCAGTACACTTACTTACGCCATTTTGGACTGTTAAAAATGCAAGCGTTCCGTTTGTGAAGAGGAAAGCCATCACGATGGAAGATCGTAAAAAAGGTGTGTTTCGACTTACACCAATATTCGGGTTATGTCACTATCGTAGGAACGGAACTGTGTCGTAACCTGAGGACCCCCTGTATTAGAAAGCCAGACATTAGTGAAGTGTGTACTAACTTTGCTGCTTTTAATGAATTGACCCATCACTGTTAAACACTGAAATATTTTTGTGTTTTATATTGATTGCGTTAATCAATATAAAATTAACATTGTATTAAATTGAAAGAAATGTTAATTTCCTAACACTTTAGTGATATTGGGCAGAGGTGTACTCACTTTTGTTGTATATTGTGCAGTTCACCCCACTTTATCTGTAAAATCAATTTGCTTGGTAACTATCAGAAGTTATCTGAGAATTTAGTGATTTTACATTATTTACCTATTATCTAAACATTATAAATGTTTATCTATCTAAATTAATTTACGCTGAAATTTACCAGAGCACTAGATTGGTGCTGTCAGAAATGACAGCATTGTATTCCCCAGACAGCCTTGTCTTTTGGTCTGGCCATCTATTCCATACCCATCCTGCACTCTCCAACTTGTACAATTTTTAGGAGTACAGGATGGATTACTTGGAAATGTGAAAGTTAATGAATGTGTTTTTATCTGAGTCCTTGCTGTAATATGAAGGTCTGAAAGTACACATTCTTTTATTGCCCATTATTGAGTCTTGCTGTATGTGACAATTTGCAGACTCCTGCCCCAATTAGGTGGTTCCTTGTATTCCTTTGTGCATGTTTAATGTTCATGTTTGAAAACTTCATTTATATTATTCATATATTTAAACATTTATGGCAATGGAAATGTATTTGTATGGGACATTTAAAACAACATCAGTAATGTTGTAACTAAAATGCTTTACATTAATCATAGAATAAAATTAATAAATAAAATAAGACATAATACATCCAACAGAAAAACGATGACTGACAAATGAGTAGCTAAAAAAATAAAACATAGAATCTCTGATGTTCATGAAAGGCTAATGAATGTGAATATGTCTTTAATCTGGTTTTAAACAGTTCAATTGAAATTGATTCTCTGAAATAAAATGGTGACGAGTGTCATAAACGCAGTGCAGCAGATGCAGACGCCCTGTCCCCCTTTGTCTTACATTGGTAGGTGGGAGCACATGGGACGTCCGAGCAGCAGATCTGAGTTCCCTAGATGGCTGGTGCATCACACACAATTCTGCAGTATACGAGGGAACATACATGTAATTAAACCATGTGATGCTTTAAAACCAATAGAAGTATTTTTAAATCAATTCTAGAACTAACTGACAGCCAATGCAGGGAAGCTAAGATTGGAGATACAGATTGGCCCCAACCAAAAACCCAGCAGCATTTTGAACCAGTTGCTTTCTACATATCAGAGATTTGCTAAAATCAAGCCAGGAAAAAATAAAAGCATGAGTGGCTTTTGCGAGATCCCTAGGAGATAAAAAAGACTGAACCGTGGCTAATAGATGATTTATTTCCATTTATTTTTCTTTTGCACTATGACCATAGTTTTATGTGAACTGTAACGGACACACTGATAGAATAAATAGGCCACAGACATTCTCTTTTCATTTGCATGTGGACAATGTACATGTAACTAATTTACATTTAATTTACACTTTTATCCAAAAGGCTTACAGTAGAGGGAAGAGATAAAATTTATGTGTGCTTCCTGGGATTTTAACCCCCGAGCTGTGAGTTGTTATTGGCTTTTAGGCATTTTTTTTCTTTTAATTGTGATTTTAATATGTTATATTTAAATATATATTTCTGCCATTGTAAAGCACTGAATTGATTTGCATCTGAATTGTGCTGTATAAATAAACTTGCCTCGCCTTATTAGCACAATGCTCTATGTGATGGGTGACTTAGGGAGGTTATGACACTACTGCATCATGCTGTAGTTTAACGTGGTCATGAAATACTAAATCCAGTTTATGAAATCCCATAAATTGTGCACACAGTTTATTTTATTGTATTTTCAATTTGCTATTTTGATCTTTTGAATAAATTTGAAATTAAATGTAACATTTTGTTTTTTTGTTAAATAAAACATGATTGCAAAGCCAGAACCTAGACTGAGGTGCAGCCATTCAATGCCTGTGTAATGCTTGAAAACACTTTTTGAGTTATCACTCTACATACTACAGCGTTTGTGGCGGCAGACCAGTGGCAAAACTGTACGTATTCCCCAAAGTCCAGGGAATACAATTACATAAAAATTTTAAGAAATTTGTGTACATACTGTAGGTTGAAAATCTGTTGTAAACACTAATATGTAGTAAAATGGTCACATGTTAAAGGACAACCTAAAGAAAACAAGGGATCTGGACATGGAGAGCAGTCTATCCTGTTGTTTATGGAAATGAGACAAATTAATTCAAGGAATCCACTGTGTGTTTTATGTGTATTATTTATTGAGAAGATTACATATGCATTATGCATGAAACCTTAATTTGCTGCGTGAAAATCAAGTAACATTCATAAATCTCTATCTTAAGTTTAACGCAAAGCCAATGACATGTTGATCTCATTTGTTTAGCAGCTAGCCTTATCAAAAAGCGCTGTATCTTAGATATAATATATCGATATAGCATTACAATATATAGATAAGAGCATTACGATACAAAAAAATACGCAAAAAAAATTATCTTAACATACAGCATATGATATAATGAATATGTAGTTTTCAAATACAACCCCAAGATTTTAATTACATTTAGTAATGAGCACTTTTAGTCTAAAATATAACAAGCATGAATGTGGGAGCAAACTTAAAAACTATATCCACCATGGGCATGATTAAATTCAGCAGAAACTCAAATCAGGTATGAATGGAAAGGGGACTAAACATATAAGGATATAAGAGAGGGAAAGAAATTACCATTAAAAATCACCATTAATTTAAAGTAAAATCAAATTCAAAGAAATCTGCAGATTACTAATTGCCATAATTGCCCATTATCCATTGACGATCTTTTGGGAGATGGCACCAGGTAGCGTGTAAAACAGCAGGGCGATGAACAGGGCGCTGATCAGCAGCACGAAGGCAATGATGATGTACTTCTTATAGTTCTTCCAAACCAGATGAAAGAAGCATTTAAAGGGGTTCATGAACCAGGAGAAGGAGGTGTCTGGTCGGCTGAGGAGAGACACAATAATGAGGAAGCTGATCAAATTCAGAGGTACCACACACACTTGTTTATAATGTGAACTGCTATAGAAGCACTAAACTTTTCAAAAGTTTTTAAAAATCTGTGAACATGAATGAATATAGAGTTGTTATTCCACGTTTTGTAATAGTTTGTAATAGTTCAATGTTTAAGCGTCATACTTGGGTTTCTCTAATGGTTCTGGTTCCTTGCGGGCTCGACCCACTGGATACTTCACTGCTTCCTCAGACGTCACCAGGTGGAACTCGGCTTCTACTTTTCCCTAAAGCAGTACAGTTCAGTTATTTGTTTATTTTTGGTATTTGAGGAAGATAAGAAGGAAATTAAACAAATGACTCACTGTGAGCTCTCCAGCCTTGACGAAGGGCCACCAGCCCCGTGAACGTTTCTGCTGGAAGATGGATATTTTCTCAAAGCTGTCATTCAGCATCTCCATCTTACAGGCTTTTGCTGTTTTAGCACCACGTGGAAATCCATGCATGTCCAACTCCAATGAACCTAAGAGGAGAGACATGCATATTTTAAAGTAAATAGTATTGTCAATAAACACTTGGCAACTTGGCATTCTCAGTAGTGGCCATGGGTAGCTCAGTGGGGGGGCACTGCTGGCTTACACCGGGTGGGAGATTTAGATTCTACCCCTCTTCTGTATGTTTGCACATTCTCCCACATCACACTGGTTTCATCCAGGTTCAGATCATTATGTGAAGTGGAATCTCTATTCCACTTCACGGTCTATTCCTCTATCTCTAATCTTACATGCCATCCAGGCTACTCTCCCAGCTTTCTCCAAATGATGTCTGGGACAAGTTTCACCCCCCCATGACCCTGTACTGGATGCATGGATGGATGGATGGATGGATGGATTCACTGGAGTGTGTAACAAAACATGTTGAAAATGACTCAAAGCGCTTCTCACCAAGGAAGTCGTCAGAGGACAGCCGCTCAAAGTCCCAAACCTGGAGCAGCAGCACAGCTGGAAGTTTTTGCTCTTTTTTGTCTAAAGAGTAGATGCTCCCCCGTTTGGAAACAACCAGCAATTTCTCTGCTGGCAGGTAGTGGAATGGGAAAACAAAGCGCCAGTTGAAGTTGCCCTCTCCAGTCAGTGAGCTATAGTGGACATCAGTCTCTTGCCGATCATCTTCTAGGCCCTTAAGCCAACTGGCAGGGGGAGATTGGGGCGGAAAGGGAGATTAATGCAGAAACTAAAGTGTGCTTGTGCCTTCAGAGACTGAAAGTAACTACATACATAGCCTAGGTGTAACATAAAACCAGACCCACAATGTAGAGCCTTAAATGTCTGCTCGGTACATACCCTTTTATATAAATGTCGCTAGACTGTTGCCCTGTAATGAAGTTTGTATCTTCAAGTATGACATCTTCTGTGTTCCAAATGATGACTCTCAGCTCATACCTTCACAAGACAAGCAGAAAACGAATCAAAACAGATTCAGCTCTGCCACTGAAATGCTAACATGAATATCATGGGGAAAACATCTCACCCTTTGGGTTTTCGAGGAGAGACATCAACTGGAGGGCCTGGATGCGGCATGTCCATAGGAAACATGTCCACCCACATCTGCAGCTGGCCCTTCATATGTGAATATACAGAAATGATCAAATTTACAGAGACAATTCCAAGTTTTAGACCACAGGACAAAATATATATCATATAGTGGACTACCTGGTCCATTCCTGGTTTGTCTTTATGGTAAAGAGTCCTGGTTTCAATATGTTCTGGGACAAGTTTGCATCCAATGCCTGGTATCTCAGCCCAGCGGTGCAGGATCTTCAGTGCCAGGTGTTCATAGGACTCCACAGGATCTTCTGTAATAGAATTTATTATATAGGATAACAAATTTCATATAGAATAGAATAGAATAGAACGTTTATTGCCCTAGAACCAGGTTGGTGAAAGTTGTATTTGGTACAGTTATACTATATGTTCATAAATAGGACAATGACATTCAAAATTCAAATGACAGGGAAATTCAAAATGGGCATAACATAATATGGAGAGAATGAGGTGATATAGACAGCACAGTGTCAGACATTCAGTGAGTAGTGCATTAGTTACAAACCTGCACCTTCATCTACAAAGACAGTCTTTCCAACGAAGACTTTGTCTCCGATGGTAATTCTTCCATGCGTGAAATGTGGGCCATCTAGGCGGTAGTCTTTGCATAACTTGACCAGCAGCTCTGAAGGTTTAATAGAATCCCTCCATGTATTGTAGCCTTCACTGATAAAAGAAATAGGAATTGCTTCTCAGTAAAGACAGGAAAATATAGCAAAATTCAGCTCTCTTCTAAGAAAGACTAGGAAGAATACAAAGAAAAGCTGCAGCTAAAATGAAGTAAAATGGATGTATAGAATGACGAATAGGTCTGATTTTTTTCCCCCACACTTACATGGAATATTCACTTGGCAGTCCACATGTGGCCCGATGTCGAGTGTAGAAACGGTTCTCCAGGTCAATCCGAGTCTCTCCAATCAAGTCATCAGTCCCAATCATGTCATGGTCATAGATAAAAACAGTCAACAAAGACTCCTTGGGGAATGTGGCTTGGATCTCAAAAGACCTAGATTTGAGAAATGGATGTTTTACCTTGTTATTTCATTAACTCTTTGATTGTCTCTTCCAGTGATCTGATAATAATCAGTGTGACAAGATTTAAACAGACCAGAACTTAAGATGTCAGTCACCTGCCAAAAATAGGATTCAGTTGTTTTGGGATGTAATTGTCCCTGTCTTTGATCTCCGTATTCCCCAGCCTCAGGACAATGTAAGGGTCGGAATATCCATCGGGGTCTGCTGGGTGAAGGTTGGTGGCCTTCATAACACAAAGATAAATACCCAACGTTGGTTTCAGGGTGGGGGGAAGCACCAGAAGTACCTCCTTAGAATTTAAGTAGAGGAAGTCACTTACTGAGACAATGTAAACCCGGATCAAAACCTTGACAGAAGTATTGGGTGGGATTCCCTTGTTAATCTTAAACTGCCCAGCCTCTGGGTCACCTTCTGCACAATCATCAGCACTCATCAGCTTATACAGGCAGAATCGACCCTGAGTACATCGGAAGTTAATATATTTGTTAGAAAGCCATTGTAAACATTAATATTATTGTCAAGGAATATGCCTTCTAAAATGTACTTTCCAACATGTGCTGACCTTAAATTTTCCAACAGTCCTCTCTTCCATGGAACCTTCTTCCTCATTAGCCTTGCCCCTGTATAGTTTAAATGTGTTGACCCAGTCATCAAAGACCCCGAATTCTGCCTCCAGGTCCTTATCATACACCTGCCAGGGTTTTAAAGAGACATTAATGCTAAGATTTACTTTGAACAAAAAGGAGGATTTCGTATTTAGAAGAACAAACCATTAAACCCATCGGAGGGCACTCACATCAGTCACACACACCATCCATGCCTATAGATAGTTGGGCGACTCCACTTTAGTGAGTTGGAAAGGAAACTGTGAGGGAAACCAGAGTACCCAGAGGAAACCCCATGATGACATAACCTTCAAACTCCACACACAGAACCTGGGCAGAGACTCAAACCCTGGCCTCCTGAGGTGTGAGGTACCCATGCTGCCCCTCCAGTCCATTCTGAGCTCACATTTGCTTACCTGCAGTGTTGTCACCTTGGGTTGGTCAAGGGGGGCTTTAAATTTATTCTGCTTTTTCTTCTTGTCACCATCCCTGGCTGCATATTGGTCTTGATGCCCACTCACTGGAAACAAGGGAGAGCTGCACTATTACACAAAAATTTATGCAATCTAACCCATATCAACATCTACCCCATACCAACCCATACCAACATCTAACCTATACCAACCCATACCCATGCAATCTAACCCATACTGAGCCATACCCATGCAATCTAACCCATACCAACATCTAACCCTTCCCTACCAATGCAATCTAACCCATCTAACCTATATCAACCATACTGTACACTGTTTTATTCCCCTTTGTGCATCTTCCCATGTGCAAAGAATCCATTCCTTTGCAATCCCATGGAAATAGTATCCCGAGCTCCACTGGATAGGAAAGGACCCATCCCAAAAAGGCTGTATGAACCTACAGAGGCCTGCAGAGCACCTGGATGCCCATCGAGAAGAAGCTGAAAATCTTTCCGGCTACTTTGTTGCAGCTGCTCCACAACCAATATGCCAAAAGTCACCACAGCCATGTAGAAATGACCAGTAGCAGCTTGTCCTCTTTATCGGTATAACTAGCCATATACAGACATTCAAGCGCAGTTGGAGGCCGTGCACTGAATGAAGCCCAGGGCTTACCCAGGGAGTCTACTCCATCCGAGAGCAAGTGCTGGAGGGGGGATACTGCAAAACACAGGGGTCTGTGTGTAGTAATGACCCAGTACACAGACAAAACACAAAAAAAAAACAAGTGTTCCAATATCAGTTGTTGATAAAAGAATGTGATAATGCTGCTTTTACATACCATTATCATATATGTGTGGGAATGCATGAGCTTCTCTTTGCCTGGCCTGTAATACAATGATACAATGTTACAATGTAAAGCATGTATAACCGAAGTCAGGAAATACGTCTAGGTGGCATGTGGGAACTTCTCACCTGCTGAAACTTGTCCACTGAGGCATAATACTTAGACCACCAGTCAATGACATTCTCAGCAGACTCGTCAGCAATCGTGCGCTTCCGCCTCTTGGTGGACCCCCGTGTGCTCTTCCTCATCTCCTGTCAAAGTTGGAGCGAGAAGATATACTCAGATGATGGGGACTTGTGTAAATTCACAAAAGACCCTTGCTGGGATTTTGGGGATAAGTCAGCTTTGCAGATGGTGTGTGCTTTGCTCTCTCCACTGGGATACCTTTCTCTTTGGGGGTTCAGTCTCTGTCGTTGCAGTAGGCATGGGAGTGACTTCCTGCTGCTCGATGTTGACGTAGATATCCACAGAAGATACTAGATCTGCAGAGCTGCTTTCTGGTGCAGGATGAGACACGCCTGGGAAATTGACAGATCTGGCATTATATATTTCCTGAACAAAAGAGACGTGAGCATCCGAGGTTCCCTCCATGTTCTGTTCAGATGGGACTTTTACCCTCTGCATCGCGAATGTCCTGGGGCCGTGGTGCTGGGGGCAGTACCGGGGGGATGTACTTGAACCCTTTCAAGCTGTTGATTACATGGCTGCCTACGAGCGTGCTCCGTCCAAAGGCACGCCAGTCCACCACGCTGATAGTGAGGGGTGGGTGCAAGTTCTCGTTTTCTGGCAGTTCCTGTGATACCAGGGGTTTAAACCTGCTCTATATTAACGCTGTTTCTCATAGTCTTTGCTGAAGTGAACAGGTCCTCAACATTTTCAGAATTAGAATCATGATATCATAGCACAGTATGGTTTCAAAGGAAATGGGACTGTTACCAGTATGAAGGAATCCACCATTACGGTGAAGTTGGGGTTACTTTTGTAGCTCTGTATGACAGAGGAGCGTATGCCCTTCCCAGCGCATTCTATGAACACCTGTGGCCGGTCCACAGGGAGAAGCTGTACCTTTTTCAGCTCCCGAAGGCCCCAGAACAGCACCTGAACAATAAACAAACAGTAGCTGGGAGAGAGGCCTCTGGAGAACATCTACACGACGAAAATGCACTTACACACAAACAATATGCTCTTATGCATTTTCACACAAACAATACTGATAGAGCTTATACTTTTATATTTTACTGTATTTAATTTATATTTGTTTATATTTTATTTGCATTTGTTATATTTCATGTATTTTATTTATTTTTATTTGTTTGCTTATTTAGCTTTATTTCGCCTTTTTATTTTACTTTGATTTATTCCATCCTTCTATTATTTTGACCTGTATGTTATTTGCTTCTCTGTCTTTTGGTTTTATTTTAATCAAATAAGTGAAGCACTTTGAGCTGCATTCCTTGTATGAAAAGTTCCATATAAATAAAGGTTATTATTATTATTATTTCATTATTATAATACCAAGACAGGTCAAGTGAAGAGAATGCTCCAGTCGGCAGAGACACGTTTATTAGAATAACACATATGTGGAAACAGCACATGTAAAGAACACAGCGGAGGCACATTTGCATTGGTAAAATGTGCATAGTCAAGAGTAAAATGGACAATTTAATTTTTTTATTTCACAGAGCTTCACCTTTCCATACACACTGCCTTCACTGCAGGAAGTGTGACTCTACAAGCTCACCTCCAGTCTATACCAGCTGAGTACAGGACGAATGCTGGCAGGGACAGGATAGATGTGTCCATCTGGCTCATCCACAACTGGCAGGGATATCTCACCTGATGCTGGTATCTATAAGAGAGCATGAGGTCTGTAGTAAAGGCCACTAAACAGCTACAAACCGTCCCTTCTGCAGGGACAGGATGCCTTTGAGAGACTCGCCATACCTGGATGAGCTCAAAGGCACCTAACAGGTCTCCCCCCGACAGACTGCCACAGAAGAGTGGGTTGTACTGGAGCTGGGCTGGAGAGTAAGGCTCCTCTGAGAGCTGGACCACTGGCACGGTCACTGTGGAGCCCAGGTACTCTGCCTTACTCTACAAGGAGCAAGACACATGTGCTCATGCAGCAGTTGCTGCATCAGCACATACAAGCTGCACACAACAGCAGGAAGTGCATTATATCTTTCAATGAAACATTTCATTGCTTTGAATGAAACACTGTTCATCAGCCCCAGGACACCCCTATAAAACAAAGCAGCTGGCTTCAGTCATGTTGGCAACATGATTCAAATGTAATAAAGCTGCATGCTGACAGTGTTGAGGAAGTTACTCGCAAAAGTAATCCATTATAGACAGAGGTGGAAAGTTCAGGTCCAGAAAGTACAAATCTAGACCAAGATTTTGTTTCAACTGACCAGTTGAGTGCTGCTCGTGGGAGTTTTGCTTACAAAAAATGTTCTGATGGCAGAACAAAAAATTGATTCAGAGATTCAGGAAGATAACCAATCAGATTGTAGAGAAGGTGGGCCCAAGCAACAACAAGACATCTGATTGGTTGGTCCTGCCTCCTCTAGCTGCTTGAACCCACCTCCTCTACGATCAGATTGGTTATCTGAGACTGTGACTCTTTATACTCAACTGATTAGTTGAAACAAAACCTTTTTACTTTTTACTTTCTTCACCTGAACTTTCCACATCTGTCTATAATGGATTACTTTTGTGAGTAACTTCCCCAACACTGCATGCTTATAGCAATATTATTACGTTCCTGCATATCGGGTATGTTTGGAGTTATTCGGGAATATTTCAGTAATACAGTCCACTAGCTTCTACAATTGTTAATAAAATGGTCAAAGGTCAATGGTACCAGAAAATGGTATGGAGAGTGGCTGGCTTACCAGTGCATCATCGTCATACACTTCGATGACAATCCGCGGGGGCTCTTTTACGATCTCTGTTAGCTCTCCACAGAGTGTCAGCTTGTTAAAAAGAAGCATCTGGTTCCAAGTTGGGGTCAGTGTCTGATTAATGATCTGAAATGACAACCATTGATTCACTGATTCAATCGGTCATGTGTATAACAGAACAGGAGATTCTCTCCTTATCATTCTTCTGTTTCCTCTGTATGCTACATCCCAAGAGATAATACTTACTTCAGTGGTTTGGCTGTGCGATAGGAAGGAAACTCTAGCGAAAGGGTCAGAGAGGCCAGTGCTGTCAGCTGCAATCAGCCCACGGGCCTGGTACATATGAGCCCGCAACTGGAACTGGTGCTGCTCTGGAGAACCCAGGAGATGATGCACGTCAGGTCTTCACTTAAATAAATAGACTTCAGATAGAATTCCAAAAACTACTTTAAACTGAACTGAAATACAAGGAGCCAGACCTTGACAGATCAGGTTATCAGGTGGGGTGGTGTTATCTGCTGTGCCCCACTGGGGTTCAAAGCCTTTTGGCAGGTTCTCCAGCATGTCAGAGGATTCACTGCATCTTCCCAGCCATAAGTAGACATCAAGCTTAGCTTGCACCGTCCAGCCAATCGTACGCTTGCCTGGTGGCTGAGGTCGCACTGTTAGCATGTATCAAAACTCGAATATGCAAATCCCTCAAACCATTTGGCTAACGTAAATGAGCCCGGGCAATGCACAAATTTGATTTTACAAATGAAAGTGACTGTATTAGTGAGTTAGAGTACTGCATGGAAAAGATGTCTGCAGGCCCACCATCTGCGCTGCCTCGACCAGGGGTGGGGAACCCGTTCCATGGAGAGCCGGTGCGGGTTTTTGGGATGACCTCTCAATCAGCTAATAATAAAACAGCGGTTCTCAAATCCAGCCCTGGGGACTCTCTTTTATTGGCTTATTGAGAGGCCATCCAAAAAACCCGCACCCACACAGGCCCTCCATGGATCAGGTTCCCCAGCCCTGGCTTAGACTGTTTTGGGCCAGTTGGTACCTTGAGGAATACGGTCTTGATCTTGCCACAGTCTTGGCCCCGTTCCTCAGGGCAGGAGGAGTACAGCACTTCCCGGGCAGGCATGCGGGCATATGCAATGCGCTTGTTGTTGCTGAGCAACCACACAAAGACATCTGGGAGGGTGTGCTGCGGCTGAATGCAGAGAGTGGTGGGAGGATTGTGAAGACTTCATCATGCATCTGGTGAGCTGCATGCATGTTTGTAAAGCGAGGCAGGTAACCAGGCAGGGGATTGACCACCCTCACTGTCTTACACATGCATGCATGTGCACACACACGAACCACAGACTCACCTCGACTACCAGGAACCTCAGTCTCTGAATGATCCTCAGAGCATCCTCAAGAATCTCCTTCATACTCGGACTCTTCCTCTTTGATTCTATAGTGGACTTTGCCTCACCCATCATGCTTTCCTAAAAAAGGAACAGAGCTGTCAATGAGCATGATGGCGACAGGCCCTGGATTACCAACGTGGAAACAGTGATTTGTTACGTTCAATTTATGTAGTTAGCAGACTCGTTTATCCAGAGCAATGTGCAATTGAGAAAGCAGGGTTAGTCAGTCCATAGAGCAACTGAGGTTAAGAGCCTTGCTTGAGGGCCTGACGGTGACATCACTCTGCTGGCCACAGGATTTGAACCGGCCACTTTCCGATTACAGGCACAACCCGAAAAACCACACACTGCCCAGAGCACAGACCTCCAACACCCGCACAGACCTCCAACACCTGCACAGACCTCCAACACCCGCAGACCCACTGAATCACTTATATTTTATATCCTACCAGCTCCTGTCTGCATAGGGTGAGTCTTTTCTTATCCAGCATGGTCAAGTGGTTCCCCTTCACCTTCTGCTCCGCAAAAGCAACAAATTTTCTACAAGCGAATATTAAAGTCAGATGATACACATTTCACCAACAGGTGAATAATGGTATTTCCATTTTGTCACTGGTATAATTTTAGACTATGCTATTTTTAAATGCAATTTTCAAAGCCAGACAATATCATTCACGTACATGTATATTATTTCCGTCTGATATTTGAGGCCCACATAGACATTTATTGTCATTCACCTTTGAAAATTAAAGTCATCAAATACCTGCAATTGCTACCAAACTCCTGAAAAACATGGTGGGCTAGAGACAGGGCCTCAGCATCCGAAGTCAGGCTCAGCTCGGCTACCTTGCTCACCCCTCCCTCCTATTTCAGGAAAAGAGCATTGGACAGATGCATAACAATAATGATCCTGCAGCCAGTTAGCTTTGGGAAAACACTCAAGCTAAATGTCATCACAGCAACATACAAATGCAAGGGCGACGTTCTCCAGCATGTTGGAGTAATTCAGGCGAAAGGTCTGGTCCTCCCAGCGGCTTGTTACATGGACACATGGCTTCTGGTTCAGAAGGGCTAAGTGCAGGTAATTCCTGTGGAAATTGATCATAGAGTCAATGGCTATAGCTGCTTTAGCACTGCAATATGTTCTCATCCTAATACAGTCTAATGACCCTAATAATAAAATACTGCAAAAAAATTGTGTGTGGGGGTGGCTCACCACAACCCTGCATATTCTGGATATGCAGTTTTGGATAGATCTAAGGAAATGGGGGGGCTGTTCTTTATTCCTATTTATACAATGCAGTGCACTGCTACTTAAATAGTATGGGGAAATTGGGGCAGATTAATACTTATATAGCACATTTTCTCAAGTTCCACAAATAGCCGACAGTACAGACTCACACGCTTTTCTCTGGATGCTAGCTGACACTGTTCAGGTATCTTACCTACAGCAACAAGCCACCAGATTCCTTCTTACATACGATGGAAGGGGCATTGTCAATTTATAAGAACTGTATAGTTCGGTACAATAACACAGAACAATTATTCATTAGCAGTTACTATAAATGTGAGAGGATGTTTAATTACACGCATCCTCAGTAACAAACCTGTTTCCAACCATTGGTGAGGGCTTGTCAGGGGGGGTTGTGGACTTGCAAAGTTCTGACCCCAGGGGGTCCAGCAGGGGGGTGCCCTCGAATTCCGCATGCTCTGTTGCTCTCTTTTTACTGCTGCTGACAATATTGGTGCCATCAATCAAGTTTCCATAGTTGCCTGGAGACCAAGAGACAAAACATATCTTTCTGTCACATCACGCTTCGCATAATCGATCGCGTGTAAATACTGAAAGGAAGAAGTAGTTAGGAATCAGTCTAAACATAAATACCAATGGTGAACTCAAAGTTTATAGGTTTTTCTCCAATCTTCCTGTCGATCATGGATGCCTCGAACACAGCACCAAACAGTATGAAGTTCTCCTTGTCTTCACTGCTTATCTACGAAGTGAATAAAACAGCAGAATGTTGTGAGAGTGAGAGAAAGCAGGGAAGGGAAGAGGTGCATCTCCTGTAGCCATTGCTCCACACCCTCACCTCTGATGGGGCCTCCACCGGCGTCACTTCTGCACCTAGGGCACTGCCCTTCTCCTCATCCGCTCCCCCTGCAGGTCCCCCTCCTGTAGCTGCTGGGCCTTTAGGGTCCTTCCCTCCTTTTGTATCCTTTGCCATCTTAGATTCAGCTGCCCCCGCTCCCGAGAGAATCTCCACCGCCAGCTCTAGAAGAATCCGTCCACGGAAGGACACGCCCTCACCCATTCCCTCGTTCAGCTCTAAGTTGTCCACTAACGTGGAGTTTCTAGGGGAGCCATAAAGGTTGATCCAAGCTGGACCAAATGTGGGCAGGAAACCTGAAAGAAAAACACTGTAGGTAGTGCAGGGCAATTAATCAAATTTCAATTTCAATCACGATTTTGGTTTCCAATGATTATTAAAACAAAATAATCAAGATAAAGCAATTTTTGTTCTGCTTTTAATTTCGCAATGACGCTCCCGATTTGTCTTGCCCTGAATCAGTATATTAAAAAAATCCAGCACACCCCATTCCAGCCTCTTTTTATTTGTTTCTCAGTTTAATTTCGAGTTCAAGGAAACCCAGTGTTGAAATGACAAGATTTAAAAAAATTCAATAAAGACATGATATTTCCAAAGTCAATGAGTAAATAACTGTGATTTCAATATTGACCAAAATAATCAGATGATGATTTTTGCCATAATCGAGCAGCCATAATTGTAGCTGCATGCCTAATTGGGGGTTGTGCACCAATAACACGTTAAAGGCAGCTACCTCGGTCGCCATCCTGTTCATTGGCAATCCGGCGCAGGTCAATGAAATGTGTTCCAATAGCCACGTCGTTCATACTGCCTTCATCCCACACCTGGATCTTCACACGTTGACACAGGGGTGGGAACATCTCTTTAAAGACAATCTGCTCGTTCCACACCGGATCTGCGGAGCCCTTTTGGGTGGATGTGCGGCCCTGTCTCACAGTAATGATGGGATGCGTAAGGGAACAGAACCACATGAACCTGGATAACAACCAAGCTACACTGATTTCCCTCAGACTCCTGCCTAATATATGAAAAAAATCAGGCTTCCAATAGAAAGTGACAGTTTAAGTACTATTACACTAAATTGTGCAATTACATAATTATTTAGTAGGTAACAAGATGCTAGTTTTGGATTTATACCACTATATATTCAGTTGCAAACAAAGCAATTATGGTTTTACCATCTGGCCAAAGAAGGACACGACAACGTATGGGTCGATAAGGTCCTTGGCGTCCCCAACGAATGCCTTGGTGACATTGGCCATGATGCTAGAGTTCATTCGGGGAAGCCCTTCAGCTCGGTACACCTTGACATAGAAGCGAGACCAGGGACGCTCCGATGGAAATCCAGCTGGTAGCAGCAGATTTCTGCCAGAAGAAAGGTACAAAAAAAGCAACTGAGTATTTTGTGTAAAAATGGTGAGATTTGTCTTATGCAGCATCGCAGGGGACTGGAGCACAGCACCTTAGCATGTTTTTGGGCTGGGAGGGAAAACCGGAGAACCGGTAGAAAACTCCACGATGACACGGAGAGAACATGCAAACTCCACATACGTGAAGCCTGGGCAGAGCCTTGAACTCCAGTCCCAACAGTGTAAGGCAACAACGCTAACTGCTGCTCCATCTCAGAACTAAAATTTAAACAGGACAATTATCTGCTATTTTTGGTTTGCAGACATCCAGCCACCCTGAAACTGCTTATTTGGTACAGGGTCTTATGAAATATTATAGTATGTAGCATGATTTGTAGTTTGTGATACAGCCTAAGACTGCAATCCCAGTGCTCTTACTTATTGATGTGCTCCTCTGCCTCTGTGTTTTTCTGAGGAGGGTGTGTCACCTCCCCCTTTCCCGTCACACTGATGTCACACTTCAGGTAGCCTTTTACCCCTGTCCGAATATCCATGGCGTCAGTGAGGACAGCCCACTTATTAGTGAACTGATGACCTGAGGAAAAAGTTTATTCAGTAATCAATTAGTAATTAAGACTGTTTCCACAAATTTAATGACAGGGGGCGGGACAGGGCATAAACCTCTGACCTGGCTGTCGGTACACTGTCCCCACATCCAGCTTGAAGGAGCCGACACAGAAACCGCGCATGATCTTGGAATGCATCAACTAGCAAGGAGGTAGAAGGGAAAAGCTTCATTAGAGCAAGGATACATTATGAAGCTTTGTAATTCCGTGGGTGATTCAAGAAGCCAGCCCACTCTTGAGCTGAAAAACAATAACATTTACGAGAGCAAACACAGGCTGATGCGGCATCAAACTACAATAACAGGAAAAACAAATGTCAGATGAGGCATGCAAAGATGGTACGTACATATATGTGTGTGTGCATGTGCGTGTAAACAGCCCCCACATGAGGATCAATGTCTGTGCAGCCCCACCCTCCACCCCCCCCCATGTTCCCCCCAGACATTTGGCCTGCGTGTACACATAGAGGACACTATATTTCATTAGAAAAGGGACCATGACCATGCACTCACTGAGAGCTTGATGACTTTGTCAAAAAATGTTTCTTGTGGGCCGAAGAAATCAAACACAAAGTACTGTTCAGGGAAGACAACAAAAGACAGTGACATGATTACATCGTGGTATAAATGTTGACACTGCATTAGACACTGCATTTGACACTGCATTTGACACTGCATTTCTTCCAGGCTGTTCACTTCCAAGGTCTGCTACCTCATTGTAGAAGGGAGCATTGGTCCCCTCTTTCACTGTAGTCTGTTTCTTCTCATCTCCTATCTCAATCACCACACTGGGATCAATGTTTTCCCCCACAAGCTGTTTGGCCTCAGTTATGTTGATGGAGATCTTTAAGAAGTCAAGAAAGCGAAGTTTAGTTTACATACACTGAAGCTGCCAGACAGTCCCACAGGGTTTGCCTCTACATGAACCATATACCTGGAAGGCTTGCATCTTACTCTCACTATCTTGAATCTTGGCCACTAGCTTGGATCTGTGTGAAAGGCACATACAGGTTCAGTGATTCAGTTTAGAAGTTCAAGATCAGAATCTCAGATGCTGATTGAAACATGTTCAGGATCATGATTGAAAATTAAATCATGATCCTGAACATGTTTCAATCAGCATCTGAGATTACAATTATTTGCAAATAGAAGTCAAGCTGTTCTATTTGCAAAGAGTATAAAGGTAACCAGAGGTGGGGATTTCAGGTCCAGTGAGTATAAAGTTGAGTTGAGTATAAAGAGTCACAGTCACAGAGTACTCAACTGGTTGCTTGGAACAGAATCTTGGTCTGGATTTGTACTCTCTGGACCAGAAATCTTCATCTCTGAAGGTGACACTTTACTTGAGGGGGCACAAATAATGTAGTAGTATACTCTTACTTAATTTATTAATTAACCAGAGTTATGTACTGATCCCATGTTGGTTCATTGTTAATCAATCATTATGGTTCAGGTATTTCATGTAGGATCTATATTTGTTCATAATTTGTACTTAAGTAGTAACTGAGTTACTAAGTTACTCATGTCCCCTCTAGTAACGAGTTCCCCAAAAGACTTATTTTCCATATTGCTGAATGCTTATATGAATGAGTAAATTGTTAGAAATAATGATAACTTTTGATCATACACCTAACATAAGGTTACAGAAGAGTCAGATGGTGTGGTACCTCTTAGAGAGGGGCTCGGCTATGACAGGCGCCAAGGCGGCATGGCTGCCATCGTCGGAGTCGATGGCCTCCACTGCCGCAGCGGCCGCTGGGCTCTCCGTCTCGCTGCCATCTGAGGCAAAGAGGCAGCTTAGCAGGTTAGCGATGGCGTGCTGATGCCGAGCAGGGATGAGCTATGCGTGAGCGGTGGAGGCAGAGGGGCGGAGCATGACTGGCACCTCCTGAGCTCTGTACACATTCGGAGCGATTCTGACTGAAGCTGGTTAGATCACTGCTGTCAGTGGCTTTCATTCTCATTGATGACATTAGAATAACTCAATGTTATAACACTCTGGAGTGTACTCAGGATTCTATGTGCTGTCGAAGCCTTACCCAGTGCACCTTTATTTGCAAAGACCAGAGCCTTGTCGCCTTTCTTCTTTTTCTTTAACTTCAAGCCAAACATCCCCTTCCTGAAAGACATATAACAGCCTACATTTAAATATAAGCTATATATCATTTAGATATTTTCACCCACATCATTTTCTCAAAAAAACGTTTCACGCTACGCTCATTAGCATGCCAAAGTCTCTATTGACGTCTCAGCTCTGTGATGCACTGAGATGAAATTTTGTTCCTCATCGGTCGCAGCGTGAAAAAGTAATAAAAGCAATATACACACTATAAATAAGGATAAATAAATTTGATGCTGTAAAAAAGAGAAAATAATAAGCATTTTAATTGTCCACTCTTACCGCTGTAATTCTGGACTTTCATTGAATGGCTCCATTTCTCCAGTATCAATAATGGGTCAATAATCCCAAACACGGGCTTGATGAAAAAATGAACCCCAAGCGTTGAAGTGCACCTGCCCACTCAGCTGCTCAGTGCCAGGCAGCTGTCACAGGGGTGTGGAAGCGGAGCACATCTCGCTGTGTGGCCACCGCAATGTCCTACAGTATCCACGGGATGCCTGTTAAAAGCAGGCCACCGCCCCCCCACCTGGGAGGGGCACCCACATGCTTGCTTTCTTACCACATGTTTGCTTGCAGTTTCCAAGGCTTGCACATGACCTGTGGCAGCTCCACCAAGCTGACAACATGACTGCAGAACTCAACATGATGAACCCTTTTCTCCTGAGAGGACATTCTTTGCTTGATCTAGGCTACCTACACCAGTTTAGGCCAATTTAGGTTGGGGAAATGTACTGGTACGGCGCTTTACCGCAGTCACCATACGACAAAACACCTCGGGATCCCAGTTGGCAACCCCCCAGGCCAACATGTGGTCCAGTCCCACCCTCCGGAAATGGCCGTCTATCTGCCACAGGTAGGTGTTACTTGGGCGTCCCCTTGGCCTGGTCCAGCCGCTCGGGTCCTCAGCACTGAGGATCCTGCCAGCCGGATCACCCTCAGGGAATCGCCCCACGTGGCCGTAGTGCCGTAACTGACGCTCCCCCACCATGCAGGTAATGTGCCTCTTTCGGGACTCCCAGAGCAACCACTCATTCGATACAAAGTCACGCCAGCGGTACCCAAGGATTCTCCAAAGAGACACAGTACCGAAGGAGTCCAGTCTTTGTCTCAGCTCACTGGATAGTGTCCATATCTCGTAGCCATAAAGCAAAACAGGGAGCAGCAGGACTTTAAAGACTTGGACCTTCATCCTCTTGCAAAGATATCAGAAGCACCACACACACCTAATGCCACCGCCCTCCCCCAATGATAATCCCTCTCTGCTCTCTATAGTTGCCCCAATCAAGCTGATCACCCTTCCCTTTCAAAATAGGGACAACCAGTCCTATTTTCCGATCAGCTGGGATAACACTCCTCTCCCAAATGGAAGGAAGTTTGCCTGCAATGCCAGGAGGACAGACTTACCACCAGCCTGGACAAGTTCACCCCGGATACCACAGATCCCTGCAGCCTTCCCTACCCTCAGCTGGTTCACCACCTGTGCAATTTCAGTGAAACTGGGTGGTTCACAGCTAATTGGAGGATCAGTCTACAGAACAACAGACCCAGAGATGTCCAACATCCTAGCTGGAGGATCATTGCCAATACAATCCTGAAATCTGAATCTTTTGTGTGCATTAAATGGGAAAGAGTGCTGAAATTCACAACACAATATAAAAAATTTTTGCGAGAAATATTGTGATATTTATAAAACAAAAAAGGATTTGAAAATTTTACCTAAAATAAACTATATCCAAACAGAACTTATCTACCAATAGATTCCATTAACTAAGCTGGTGGTGTTGCTGTGAGTTGTGCCAACAGACACAAAGCACTTGTGTTTACTATAGTTTCTGTGGAATCCAAAGGCATGGATTTGGGTATGAACAGTGAGGCCATGTCCTTACCAATACTGTGGGAGTTCTGTGTACGTTTAGGGGGGCGGGGCGGTTTGGGGCTCATTTGGTGCCTACCAATGTTGTAACCAAACCTACACCCTTGATGGTATCCGATATATTTCCATAAAGAAGATGGCAAATGTATTTCAGTGACCAGTTATTCTTTGCTTTTCTCCACTTCACTCATTTTTGTTAAATTTCTTAGAAAAACACCACACTGTCTATGAGTGAGTCCAACAGCAAAAATTAAGATTTTTATGAATGGCGTGTAAAGCGCACACAGAATTTATGCAAAAGCAGCAGAGGTAAACTTTAGACTGATTTTTAAACACATACTAGACAATCATTGAAATTGAAAAGTTTTGTTTCATAATACAGAGTTAAAAAAAAGTTTTAGCATAACTTATTGATGGTCTCAACCCAACTGACTATCGCAGTACTTGTGATATACAGTATAGGACATGAAAATTGGTACATTAGTGTATTTTATATAGTAGCCTGTAGCCCAACACTATAGCATACAGCCCATACACTTGCCTAAAGGATTATTAGGAACACCTGTTCAACTTCTCATTAATGCAATTATCTAATCAACCAATCACATGGCAGTTGCTTCAATGCATTTAGGGGTGTGGTCCTGGTCTAGACAATCTCCTGAACTC